TGTAGGATAGAGCAGAGATGATTTCCAGGAAAAAGGCGATCTGAGAAGCCATCTCTTCATCCTTCATCGGCCTCAACGGCAAACAGAATCTTCAACCAGAGACTGCACCCGCGACACCCGATAATGATCTCGCCATGCTCGGCTTCCCTCTCCAAATCCTCCTCGTTGACCAGAAACCCGCGCTCGTCACCACACCGACATCCGCGGTACCAGCAATCGCCGTCGCCGCCCTCCGCCTCTTCGCAGGCAAGATCCTCCAAATCCACAATCTCCAAGCCGGTATGGAACACATCGCCGGTCTTCTCCCGTTCCGCGACCTTCAGCCTATCCAGACGTAGAGAGCGATCATATTCAGCGCGAAGGGCGGGGTCCGATAGGGTCTTGTAGGCGGTGGTGATCTGGTCGATGGTATACAATTGTCGCGACGAGTTACCATCGGATCTGGCAAAGAGAGGGTTCGGAGTAGATATGGAGGTAGAGTTAGCCGAGCCGCCTAGCCCGGTCTCCCTTGCGATAGCACCAGCCTTGTCAGGGTGGTGGTTCAGCAGCGCTTTACGGTATGCGATCTTAATCTGCTGCTTGGAAAGGACCGTCGACGAAGACCCCGTGAAGGGAAGAGACAGGATCTCATAGAGATCCACGGCGTGTGTCGTCCTCGTCATGTCGAAAGAATGTATTCCTTTTTCTGTTCAGGATCTGCTCGTGGTATCTGGCTGGTCGCGCTGTTTCCGTGTCCCGCACCGAGTCCTCGAACGACTGGAGGTGCGCGCCCGGCTGTTATAGTGACACCTCGGAGTTTAGCGGAAGTCCAATCGCCTGCATTCCAGGGAATAATTGTGATAATCTGGGGTAGCAAGGTGCTACAAAGCGGGGTTGGTGAGCTTTGTGAGGTTTCCTTGAAGATTTGAAATTGGCGGGCAGCCCTTGCACGCCACTTTGGGAGAAGGCCTTCCGGACCCATACCTGTTGATGTTAAGCGTTGGCTGCATACTCTTTTCTTTCTTTTATTTTCTCAGTACCTCGTCATGACCGTATTTCTTTTTTCTTTTCTTTTCTTTTCTTTTATGATATTCATGCCCTGTATGGATATTCTCTGGAGCTATGCGATCTTTCTGCCAAACCTCGTTCAATGGCTCTATGTGAACCACGCTAATGCTACATCCTACCCAAAACGAAACCCACATGCTGTGAATACAGCTTAGACTACTGGTATATGAAAATATGGAAGGAGATCTGAAGTTCCATTGGCAAGAAGAAAAATAATCTTAGTGAGTAATTACTCGGATATCAAGACAGGTATATAAAAAGGTGATGGGAATATTAGGCAATTTTTGAGCAATCCCCTTACTCAGAAGTCTTGAAGACGAAGCGGTCCTCAGTCTTGAAGGGCACACCGAGCTCAAGGAGCTTGACAAAGACATCAGAGAACTCCTTAAAGAAGGCATCGCTGTCCTTGGCATAGCGCTCGACATGCTTCTTGAAGCCCTTATCCTTGACAAGAGCCATATCAGTGGGCAACATCATGAGAGTGCCAGTGGTCTTGTCAGTGAACTGAGTCGGGCCGTTCCACTTCTTCTGGATCCACTTCTCCTCAACAAGGAGGCGGAAGAACTCGTTGGTGAAAAGGGTAGGGCTGAAGTTCCAGGGCCCGTCAAAGCCGGAACGATCGGTGTGGCATCGGCCCAGGGCATGGGCGCCGATAAGCGCAACCATCTCGCGGTCATCAAAGCCCATGCGGGAGAAGATGTCGCGGATGTGACGTTGGTCCTTGGTGGCATCAGGAAGACGGCCGTCGGGAGTGCAGGCGGCGACGTCCCTGTCCTCACGGCCGGGTCTCCAGGGGATCGTGGGGCCACTCGCCTCCTGGATGGCACAGGCACCACCAAGAGTCCACAGATCGGAGTAAGAGATCCAGGGGAATTGAGCCTTGATGGGCTCGAGGAAGTCGCGGGCAGTCTTGAGACCGGCGTTGGCGCCGTGATCAGACTCCGGGGCGAATCTCATCGTGGCGCCGTTGCTGCCTCCAGTGCCGGTCTCCTTATCATAGGTACCACTTGCGTGCCATGCGAGACGAACCAGGACCTATTAAGAGCAACATTAGGTCTTTAATCTTGGATTATAATGTCGAGCAGACGTGACTGCACTTACGGGAGCATAGCTGCCATCATCATAGTCGGTCTCGTCGGCCAGACGGGAAGCGATAGCGTCGTACACCTTCTGGTAGTCGGCCTGGGTGGGGACGAAGGGCCCCTTGGGGGAGGAGTCGCCGCTCAGGTAGAGGTACGCTCCACCTGCGGCACCGAGGGCACCGATACCAAAGGCCCAGATGCCAAAGGATGAGCTAGACTTCTCGGAGCCAGCTTCTGAAGAATATCCACGACGGGCAGAGGTGCGGAGACCATTGGTGGGGATGGCAAAACGGGCGCTGCGCGCAGCAGGACGGAATGAGGAAGTCGCCGGGGTTGAGCGCAGGAAGGCCCGGGAAACAGTTCTGGCAGCCGAAGCCATTGTGATAAGACAGAGAGGGTGTGTGAGATAAGAAGTCTAATGGGTTTCACGCAGGGAAAAGGAAAGTAAAGGTGGGAGTACAAGTGCAGATGAAGAGAGAATGGGAAGAACCGGGGCATTTGTACTCCTCCTGTCCCATTTCCCAATGCCAGTCCAACCCTGAGCCAATACTTCGGTACATCATACAGAAGCTGCTGGAATCACAGCCAATCAAAGGGGCCACATATGCTATTGCCTCGGCGTTTCGTCTCGTCTCCGCATTCCGGTACATCACCGTACATCATCCCCAGACTTTCACAGTTTTCCCTTTCAACTATACTCTTCATTGTCTTCAAGTACAATACTAGGAGATCATACTTATTGATATGGCAGTATAGACTGACACCAGAGGCATGAGACATAAGTATGTAAAGAGATATCCATACCTGTACTCCGTAGGTATCGCGGAATGGTATTATTAACAGCCAAGCGATGTTTGGTCAATTCCGACCCACTCTCCCGCTTCCGGCCTGCTTACCTGATTCGAAGGGTATGTCTGGGCCTAGCTTGCTCGGTAATAATTCAGGTCTAGATACTACACATCTATATCTATTAAATAAGATGCCAAATAAGCTATTTATTAATCTTTGGGTTCGAGATCCCTTGGAAAAATTGAACGCTTTTGATGGTCTCAATCTTATTACCCATGGTTCTAGCCATCTGATTACTATGTCCATGGATAGGTACGTCGCTATGACAGTGTTTCTGCCGTCAGGAAGCCGGCGAATGCCCAATTTTATATATATCAATGACTGCTCTCATTGGAACAGGAGTTGTCCTATTAGAATTGTAGAGGAAAGAAATACACATACGTATGTGTTGTTGTATGCCCGACTAAATAGGCTTTATTCTCTTCTCTAATCTCGCAACGAACTACCCCAAAGCCTATATTGGTTCTTTCTGGAACCTCTGGGGCTTAAGCTTCCATATTAATTATATTTCGCATATTCCCTTGCTTTTGACAACCAGTCCTTTTGCATGATACTGCGCATGAATCCTCCAAATGTATCCCAGTATCACATATTTACATATGTATAGACCAACTAGAGCGTCGATACGGTAATGAGAAACCACATTGTCTCCGCTTGCCTCATGCCTTTTAGTCTCAATCATGACGTCAATTTCCGCTCTTCTGTACTGAGCAGACCAAAGTCGATCTGACTGCGGTTCAATTTGCATGTGCTTGGAGCAGCATGTATGAAAACAAGAGTTACACGGAGAGACTGTTTAGTTTGGGCAAAGCTGTTTTGTCGGAAAATCATTTAACCGAATAGTCATGTGACATGTAAGGAGAGACTTGAAAGATCTTGTAGGGTGATCTCCGTACTCTGTGCTGTAAGATGATTACTGATTTAGGGCAATAAGTATATTTACATAGTAAATTTGGGAAGATATATTTTCATTATTGGTTGGGGATGTCCGTCGTAAAAAAGTCCTGCTGTTCAATAGATATGAACACCAGGGTGGAGTAGACGCAGCTCTGCTAAAAACTGTTTGGTTTTGATATTCCACGAACGAACGATTAAAAAATCACCCAAGAGACGTCCAGTGCCACAGGTAGGCACCACGCGGGTTATGTGGTTTGAAGTTTATATATAAATGTTGGATTCAAGTCATCAACAATCCCCGACATTAAAGGATTGGATTCTCAAGTCTCCAACACACGAATGATGGTTGAAGAAGAAGATAAAGTGTGAAGTGAAAAGTTTTTATCTTAATATTCATGGCACGTGATTGAACTAGCGTAGTCACATGACAACTCCCTTTTGTATCGAAAATTTCCGCGCAAATTGGAAACTTTTCTTCTTTACACTTTTCCGAACGCATAATCAACCGCCAATTCCTCTATCATAGGATGGTTGGTCATATTGGCGTACTAGAAGATACTCATGGGTAACATTACGACTTCTCGACGGCTCCGAAAAGGCTTCGGCCTTTAGGCGCATTGGTAGATGCGAGTCATTGCTGTCCAGACATGCCAATTATATATATATTTTGAGCTAGTATTAATATACATAGATAATCTTGTCTGTCAATCTGTGTCGGTCCATCCGAAACTGTACGAGCCTAGACTCAAGTCTATAAATATCTAAGACTTCTTAAGTTGTTCTAGAAGATGCTTATAGAGAAAGCTATGCCGAGGAAAAAAAAAAAAAAAAGGATACAGCAGAATGAGATTGCCATCTTAATTTAACTTACTTCAACTCAACCTTGGAACAGTTTAGCTAATATCTTTAAATCCTGACTGTCTCTTGACTCTATTTTTTTAATTATCTGTACTCCATATACTTCGTTAGTGTACATGTATGTCTCATTTGGAATGATCTGCCCCTCGGACGTCAGTTGAACCCTTCTCCGCCTTGGGAACCAGAATTCTTCCCCTATTCCACTTTGTATAACTGCCGCTTCTTCTATTTATTTATTTTATTCTTGTAATTATTATTTTTTGCATCATGGCTCCCGGCCCCAGCAAGCGCGAGCAGGCGCGGAATGAAAAGACCTTGACGGAGCTGATCCGGACCGTTCCTGGCAATGACCGTTGTGCCGATTGCGATGCCTTAACCCCAGGTTCGTCCCTAGAGACCCTTTTTGTTGATCCCACTAATTCTTATTTGAATAGGATGGGCAAGCTGGAATGTATGTCACTGCTTCTTTAACCTTCGAGCGAATCCACAAACTGACTGTTCATCTCCGACAGATGGGCATTTTCCTTTGCATGCGTTGCGCCGCATTGCACCGAAAGCTGGGCACACATATTTCCAAGATCAAATCTTTAACCATGGACACATGGACAGCAGAGCAAGTTGATGTGGGCACAATCAGACACCCTGCAATGGCAAAGGCCACGAGCTGACAAAATGGACTTTGTACTAGAACATGAAATCGCACGGCAACCTCCTTATGAACAAGATGAACAACCCGCGGGGTATCAAACCGCCAATTCCCACCGACATTGACGAGGCCGATGCATGCATGGAACGGTTTATTCGGCAGAAATATCAACACCGCTCGTTGGAAAACGGAAAGCCAAAGCCCCCGAGCAGGGAGGATTCGAGTTACTCCAACCCTAGGGCTATGTCCCCCGTGGAATCAAGAAAGAATAACTACGACATATCCCCCGAGGGTTCTCCCCCTCCGCTTCCTCCAAAGTCTGGAAGGTTTTTCAAGTTTGGTCTACGCTCGTCGTCCTCTACATCAAACCTCCGCCGATTTGGTGGCAAGCCGAAGGTGACCTCGCCAACATCGGAGAATGGAGCCTGGTCACCACCACCATTGCAATCCAGGAAGACGACCGGACTCGGTGCGCCTGTCATCGATGTGACAACGGCATCTTTCGAGGCCAAAATGGCGGCATTGCAGCAGATGGGATTCACCGATGACCGACGAAACGAGATGGTTCTCAAGGGACTTCACGAGGATCTGGACCGAGCAGTCGAAACACTGGTCAGATTGGGTGAAGGGAGCAATCCTGCATCAAGATCCAGAACCCCGGCCGGGACAAGTACTGGTGCATCCGCACATATAGTAATCTCGAAGCCCGAGGCGTCCAAAAACCCATTCCCCGTCACAACCGACAACACATTCCCCGAGGTTTCCAACAACCCATTTGACCGGGTAGTCTCAAATCCAGTGGCCCAGTCGCAAACCCAGCAACCACAGACCACTCCATATAACCCATTCGATCAACTAAACTCGAAGCCGGCATCTACGCAACCTCTAGAATCAGCTTTCCAGGGCCTTCAGGTTTCTCAGCCCTTGTTTCCCCACTCTACCGGTGGATACCCGAACCAGACCAGTTCTCTGCAGCACCCTGTATATCAACAGCCCTACACGCCTCCGGCCACATCGACATTCTCGCAATCTCCCTATGTTACATCGCCTCAGCCAATGAATAACAGCTTCAATCCATTCGATCAGCCACCGCCGCAGCCGCAGGGTGGCTTGGCCAGTCAGACATATCCCAACCCCAATGCGCCGCAAACGAACCCTTTCTTCAACACTGCGCCGCAAAATCAACCCGTGCAGCCGCAACAGCAGCAAATGACGCCGCTCTCAAACCAACTAGGGGGGCTTTGAACCCCCTCGCCATGCAAATACCATGCCAGTTATGTCTTCCGCCTCGCCATTTGGACTAAATGCTCCTTTTCAGGCACAGCAGCAGCAGCAGCAGCAGCAGCAGCAGCAACAGCAGCCATCAAATGGTCTGGGAGCTTACAATCCGTTCCAGCAAGGGTCGGCACCCAACACAGCAAACAGCGCAGGCGGCTATCCCAGCCAATTCCAGACCCACCTGCAGCCCCAACAACCGCAACAACTCATGCCCCAACCCACTGGAATGGACAAAAATAGCATTCTTTCATTGTACAATATGGGTCCTGCGCAGTCTACTATGACATCCATCTCCGAGCAACCCCAGCAACAGCAGCAACAGCAGCAACAGCAACCTCAGCAGTTCCAAACTCAAACCCCCACAATGAATTCATACTCTCAACCATCGAACCCATACACCTCCATCCCCCAGACCCAGCAAGCCACAAACTTCCAACATCAGCCCCAGAGCCAACCCCAGAGCCAGCTCCAACCCCAACCCCAACCTCAGCAAAACTTCCAACCCCAGCAACCTACCGCCAACGCCCAGCCCGCCACATCCAACAACCCATTCTTCGGCACCGCGCCCGCCGGCAGCGGGTCCGGCCTTGCTGCACAAGCAGGCATCAACCCATACCAGCAGCAATCCTCAGGGCTAGGAATTGGCGGCATGAATGGCCAGCCCGGAGCCGGAACTGCCCCCGCCACTACTCCGGCCATGGGAACCAACAATTCCCCATTTTCAGGAATGAGCAGTCCCCCCTTTGCAGGAGCGAACAGTTCTCCATTTGCTGGAGGCCAGTCCCCCTTCTCAGGCCCGCCGCCCACAAACTCGGCGTTCCCACGGACACACATGAGCCAGCCGAGCGTTGATGTGAGCGGCATGCAGAAGGGTCGTCATAGCCCTGATGCCTTTGCTAGTCTGAGTGCTCGCTACGGTTGAGTTCTATAACTTTGGCCTTGGATCGTATATGGATGGCCGCGCAATGTGAATATGGATATTGACATGGGAATTGGTTTTCCTTTTCATTTCCACTTTGACTTTTATACTAATTTGGATATAGAAGATTGACGAGACGTGTTATGGTTGTGCATGTCTGGCGCATTTTCATTGTCTTTTTACCACTCGTTAGATTTCTCTTTTCTTTAGATCTCATTCCCTGTTGTCCATATTTTTTTTTTTGTTTATTAAAAGATTCCTTTGATTTCTGGTTAGCGAGTCAAAATAGTACATAAATGTTGTTTCTTGTTACATATGAGTTTTGAAATAATATATTACTGGTGAATCAATACAGATTATCATACTATAGATCTATAACTATATGTTCAAAGAAAAGTGGAGACATAAAAAGGAAATAGTAAGGAAAGGTGGAAGACAGAAGCTGAAGGGAAGAAGAAGAATCCTTGCAGCGCCACATATATAACACAAATAGCTGGAGAAGAACCGGGAATCGGTGATCTCAAGACCACAACTCTGCTTCCGTAGGTTTCCTCTTAGCTCCGCCCAACCAAGACGGCAACTTAGAAAGCCGATCCGACGCCCAAGAAGGGAGCCAACCTGGCTTCTGTTTCGCGAATGAGAACTTCGCTACAAAGCTCTCCCAACGAGTGGGGGGCCGCCAAGGCCAAAACGACGATGTTTGTGCAGGTGACGAGAAAAGAGAGCCCGCTGAACGTTGCCAAGGCCAAGACAGCGGTGCTTTTGGAGACAACGAGAAAAGAGACCCTGCTGCACGTCGCCATGACTCAATCAATGAAGGAGGCGATGGGGACCAAGGCGTCGAAGACGCGTGGAAGCCCATCCATGACTGCTGTTTCTGCTTGCGGCCCTCTTGCTTGAAAGATTCTACGATACGATCGAATTGCTCATCTCGGCTTTGCTGCACTTGGCGTTGGGCAGTGGAGCGCCAGGCGTCCTGCTCTACCGTATCCAGGCACCAGACTACGACGTCGCCGCGACGACGCCAGTCGTCGTGCCAGTCGGTGTTGAAGGTGCGCCAGCACTCGTCATAGTGGGAGCTGCGCAGCAGGGGGTGGAGGGTTGGCTCGAGTTGGGCGAAGAAGATGAGGTAGTCGGGCCAATCATGGCGTGGGGCCTCATCGGGGGCATTTCCTGACAGAGAATGGTGTGCGGGAGAGATGTAGCTGGGTCGTCGAGGGAAGTGACGGAGACCACCAGCCATGTTCTGGTGTAGGAATTGGTCCGGGTCGTCGTAGAATTGGTCTGCTTCATCTCGGTAAACGGCTTTCTGGGTTGCATTGAGATCGATCGGTGGCTCGCAGGAAAGGGCCCAAGCGTTAATTGTTGGGTAGACTAGATGGGAGCGCCAGGGTGTGCTGTGGCAGGGCATTAAAAAACCAGCAGAGATTCCGGTTTCAGAGGTGGAGTCTGTTCCTCTTTTTGTTATCGATGCTGAGTGTGTTTGGTGCTGCTGACGGAGATAGGAGAGGACCTTAATAGTTCCCGATGCGTGATAGAGAGTTGTGTACAGCGCAATGACCACGTTTACAAGAACGAGAAAAATGAGAATCAACATGCGGGGAGTATAACGCGCGTATGCCGGCGAGTAGATGGCTGGGTAAAAGAACTGCACCAAAGGTGGCGCGGCTAAGATGTGCAGACATGGTAGCAATGGGTAGATGAAGCGAACTTCCTTGTGAGAAATCAAAGAGAGGACAAATGGCATCACAAGGCAGACTGTGGCCAATTGTGCTCGGATCGCTGTTTGTAAACTGTCTCCCACCGTAGATTTCCGAGCCGTCAAGGTTGTGTATAAACCAATCAGCGCAGCAGGCAACAAAGTGGTGAGTAGAAGCGGATAGCCCTGTGAGATATAGTAATGCCAGTCATTGCTGCCGTAGAAGACAGCCAGTGACTGGGCGATGTTGAAGTATAGGAATCTGAGCGGTGGGAAGGTCCAAATTCCATAGAAGAGACGGTCTGCAACGGTAGACACCGCGAGAATTGCCGATCTGTCAGATCAAAGGTCAGCTGGTTCCTTAACAGGAGGTCATATTACTTACCCGCAAAGTATAACTTCAAAAATGAGGATCTTGCGCTGGGGCCAAGACGTCCGAAGCCAAGCGAGGCCGGCCAGGGTTGCCCAAACGAGAATGTTAGTCGGCCGCAGGATACATGCGAGCGCCGCCAGCGGCAGGCATTTGTGGAAGCTGCAAGTAGCGTCAGTAGCTGTTGTCATAAACTCGGAGGCCCAGTCATACCCAATAATCACACTTCGATCCCGGTCCGTACCCCTCATTTGATTGCCAGTCTTTTTGCCGCGGCCATCGCCGGCTGTAGAGCCTACCGACCATTGCCATGGCCATAGTTCCAACGCGACAATGGTGATTGTTGTTTCAAAACAGTTCGACAGGGTCCTAGTTGAGCAGAACCATTGCCAGGGATTTAGGACTGTTGCGACCAGCTGTTGAACAATTAGCATGCGCTTTTTCCTGCCTAGAGAAATTCCAAAGTAACGCGACACATATATCACATACCGTTGTCCAGGATCCACGGGAATCATTTCCATAGACGCGAACTGCAAGCTTCCACGTGTAGAAATCACCAATTGCCGCCACAACGGCCTGCGCTGTCTTCGGGGCGGCAACTAGGAGCTCTGCGCGCGTGGCCGGGGAGAGGCTGAGGGTGGAGGCGAGGAAATCGGCGGTTTTATAGAGAGCGGCGAAGAAGAGAGGATGTAGTGAGGATCGGAGTTGGTGTCGCCATTCCTAGGAGCAATGTTGAGGTTAGCCAAACTCAGGTGCTCACGCGATCGCATTCACTCACCCATGTTATCCAGGCCCCTTGGCCTTGACCGAAGGCGATCTCCCAGGCTGGTTCCAGTGACTGAAAGTATTCATCTGGTTGAAAAAAGGTCCGAACTGCGAACGCATTGACGAGACGGAAGGCGATGAGGAAGAGGAGTATGTTTTGAGTGGGCGCGGGGGAGTTCGAGGCGCGCGCGGAAAAGTTCGTGTAGGCATGATCAAGGGTAAGAATATTGTAAGTACTCATTCCCTTCGTACATTGCGCTCGGAGGTTCAAGATATCTGACCTCGCGAAGCGCATGAATGAACATAGACAACAAAGGAGAGAGGGCGGAAGAGGGTCTCACTCCGAAACTCGAACTATTCGAGTGGACTCATTGGCTCTACACATTTTCAACCCTTTTGTCTTGGATTTTCTTTCAATGATAATTGAATCTTTATTTGAGGGTATATAATTCTTTATTTCACTATGTTTCTCTCCAAACTTCAAGTATTACATGTATATATATACTATATTTTTTTATATTTTTATTCTTGCCCTTCAATAACCGAAGTATGACGTGCATTTTTTCCATACCACACTTAGCCTCTCTCTTCTGAATTAAATTAGACCAATAATTAATACCAGGAAGATGATCCTAGAGCATATTTAACCAATGAACGAATCAGAAATGGTGGTTATCAAAGCTAATGGAGCCCGTGTAGGGTAATCCTGCGCATAGGGAACAACATCGGCACGACCTGTACTTAGCGGACATGGGCTCTAACAAGTCTAACACTTAACGGCATAGCGGCTGTACAAAGAGAAAATTCCCCTTACTTATATAACTTCTCTTATCTTCCATATTTATTTGGTGGAATTTCTTCAATTTCTTCAACTTCAACTTCTTCAAATTCATCTTCTCTCTCTTTTACCCCATTGCCGATCCCCCCCATCGCCTCCAACTTCCCCCAACTTCTTAGCTCTCCCCGCAATCCACCATGGCTACTAACGGGTCTTTCTCCCACTACCATGCTGCCTCTTCTGCTGAGGCCATTGAGTCCGAGAAGGAATATGCTGCCCACAACTACCACCCTCTTCCTGTTGTCTTTGCCCGGGCTCAGGGTACTTCGGTCTGGGACCCTGAAGGCCGTCACTACCTTGACTTCCTCTCCGCCTACTCTGCCGTGAACCAAGGTCACTGCCACCCCAAATTGATTGCTGCATTGGTAGACCAAGCTTCGCGAGTAACTCTGAGCTCCCGTGCTTTCTACAATGACGTCTTCCCCCGCTTTGCCAAGTTTGTTACTAGCTACTTTGGTTTTGACATGGTGATGCCTATGAACACCGGTGCCGAGGCTGTCGAGACAGGTATCAAAATCGCCCGCAAGTGGGGATACAAGGTCAAGGGCATTCCGGAAAACAAAGCCGTTATCTTGAGTGCAGAGAATAACTTCCATGGGCGTACAGTAAGTGAATTGTGACCCCTCCCTGTTACACCCGTGAAGGTACATCGGTGGCTGATTATGCTGACCCCTTGCATTAGTTCGCCGCCATTTCCCTATCCTCCGACCCTGAGTCACGCGAGAACTATGGCCCTTATCTTCCCGGTATCGGATGCACGATCCCAGGAACTGAGAAGCCCATCGCCTACAATGACAAGGTAGCTCTACGTGAGGCCTTCGAGGCAGCTGGCCCCAATCTCGCTGCTTTCCTCGTCGAGCCTATCCAGGGTGAGGCAGGCATCGTTGTCCCCGACCCAGACTACCTGCAGGAGGCCCGCGCACTCTGCGACAAGCACAATGTGCTGCTGATCTGTGACGAGATCCAAACTGGTATCGCCCGCACGGGTAAGCTGCTGTGCCACGAGTGGAGCGGAATCAAGCCCGACCTGGTCTTGCTCGGCAAAGCCATCTCGGGTGGTATGTACCCAGTTTCTTGCGTGCTGGGTAGCAAGGACGTCATGCTCACGATCGAGGCCGGTACCCATGGTTCGACCTACGGCGGAAACCCACTTGGCTGTGCCGTTGCTATTCGCGCGCTTGAGGTCGTGCGCGAGGAGAACATGGTGGAGCGCGCAGAGCAGCTCGGCCACTTGTTCCGGGATGGGCTGGTGGCTATCAAGAGCCCGGTCATCCAGACAGTGCGCGGAAAGGGTCTGCTCAATGCTATCGTCATTGATGAGTCAAAGACGAATGGACATACCGCTTGGGATCTGTGCATGTTGATGAAGGAGAAGGGTTTGTTGGTATGTATCCGAGTCCCCACTCATTAAGTTTTATTCGGGGATCGCTGACTCTTATATTCTCCAGGCCAAACCTACCCACCAGAACATCATTCGGCTTGCACCTCCACTGGTCATCACGGAGGAGGAGATCCAAAAGGCCCTCGGCATCATCAAGGAGGCCGTGACAGACCTCCCCAACCTCAAGGGCACATCCGAGGACGAGATTATCCCTCCCGCGGAGAAAAAGGTCAAGATTGACCTTGAAAACTAGATGGAGCTATAAAGAACGGGACCTCTGTAGGTGCCACAGATCACAGCCGCAACCCCCAAAGCCGCGTGGGAAATCCACGATCTGCCATAAGCCATGCATATCATATTCTCTGGATTAGGGCTGGCTACATGTGATTCCCATTGGACACAAGCTTGAGATGACTAAAATGTCCCTATCTGGCACATTTACTGTCTTGGATTTGCTTGTTATCCCACGACGTGATGATGGAATGGTTTTCCTTTTTTTTGCCCCTTCCTTTCTCGGGCTCAAAACTTGTATGTCATAGGGCAGAATGGATCATAACAATTTTGATTGTGAACATAGTCTGCTAGTTTGTTAGTGAAATTGTAAGAAGTTAACATTGGTTAGAATCAATAATAACAACAAAAATAATGATAACAAATCAGCCCCCACAACTCACCCGAGGTCCACTACCCGTACGACCATATAGACATTAGTAATCCAAATGTCGGCGAACGGGAATGATGAAGTCCGTGATGCCGACTGCCGGTGACTACAAACCAACAAAGACACCAGTCCACGGTTGATAGTGAAGTTCTAAGCGAACGCATGTTTGTTTCACTTGATTGATTTTGGTTGGTTTGCCTTTTGATGTATCATGACAGGCCCAACAAGCCCCATCTTAGGAAGCTTGGCCCTATTAGGTGGATTATCATAAAAGGTCCGGACTTCCGTCTGACTTTTTCTTAATACTCCGTTCTCGTTGTCGTATCTATAGCCATTTAAAGGCCCCTTTCAATATATATCTCCTCGGTTCTTCCTAATTCCCTGATTCCTTATTTCCTTTAATTCCTAATCCCCGACACTATCTCCGCTTTCCGCATTCAGCATCTCGGGGCCGTCTCCACATCTGTTATTACTCCCATTTTTTTCCCCATTACACCTCGAATTTCTAGAACACTGCCCAAGTGATCTAGATTCGATAGCAGATCAAAGTTCAGCATGTCGGCGCCCGAGCCGCTACGTGAAGTAGTGGTGGCGGATGACAAAGTCCAGGCCAATGCCCCCTCAAGATCGGCATCCGAAGAAGCGAAGGTGTCCGATCTGGACGTGCAGCCTCAAAAGAAAAATGGTATCGCAGGCTCAATCCGCTGCGAATGCAAAAGATCCCTTCTGTCCCAACGGAGCGATCTGTATCGCATGAATATGGCGCTTCCATTTTTAGTGTTCTGTCCTTCCAATGGATGTCCCCGTTGATGAAAGTGGGTTATCTACGTCCACTCGAATTGCAGGATATTTGGACTGTCAATCCCGACCGTGCCGTTGACGTATTGTCTGGTCGATTAGACGCTGCATTGGAAAAGCGCACGGAGAGTGGCATTAACCGCCCGCTTCTCTGGGCGTTATATGACACGTTCAGATTTGAATTTCTGCTCGGCGGCATCTGTCAGTTCTTCAGTTCGCTGTTGCTGGTTTTTGCGCCGTATTTGACGCGGTACTTGATTGCTTTTGCGACGGAGGCTTATGTCGCACAAAAGGCTGGCCAGCCGGCGCCTCACATCGGCAAGGGGATGGGGTTCGTCCTTGGTATCACCTGTATGCAGGCACTGCAGAGCATATGTACGAATCAGTTCTTGTATCGGGGCCAAGTTGTTGGTGGGCAGATTCGCGCGGTGCTTATTTCTCACATCTTCAACAAGGCTATGAAATTATCTGGTCGTGCTAAGGCAGGAGGACAAGCTACCCCCGAAGAAGTCAAAGCCTTGGAGACAACCAAGGATGCTCTCTTAAAGCCCGGAGAAAAGGGGAAGAAACAGAAACCTGACACCGCGATTCCTGCACCTGGTGGCATTGCAGGTGATGGCCGCGGATGGAACAATGGTCGCATCACTGCTCTCATGAGTATTGATGTGGACCGAATTAACCTGGCTTGCGGCATGTTCCACATGATTTGGACAGCACCCATCTCCATTATAGTAACACTTGTCCTCCTATTGGTCAACATTGGCTACAGTTGTTTGTCCGGGTACGCACTGCTGATAATTGGAATGCCATTTTTGACTTTCGCCGTGCGATCTTTGATCACCCGACGACGGAATATCAACAAGATCACAGATCAACGTGTATCTCTCACTCAGGAAATTCTACAAGCTGTGCGCTTCGTGAAATACTTCGGTTGGGAGAGCAGTTTCCTCGGCCGTCTGAAAGAGATCCGTGGACGAGAAATCCGATCCATCCAGACACTGCTTGCGATCCGAAACGCCATTCTTTGTGTGGCGATGTCTATTCCTGTTTTCGCCTCGATGTTGGCTTTCGTTACCTATGCGCTGTCAAAACATGACTTGGACCCCGCTCCGATTTTCTCTTCGTTGGCGCTGTTCAATTCTCTGCGGATGCCGTTGAACATGCTGCCAATGGTCATCGGTCAAGTGACCGATGCTTCGACTGCTTTTAATCGAATCCAGGAGTTCTTGCTCGCCGAAGAACAAACAGAAGATATCGAGCGGGATCAGAACATGGAGAATGCAATCGAGATGGAACATGCTTCATTTACCTGGGAACGCCTTCCGACAGATGAAAAAGATGCAGAAAAAGCCGGAAAGAAGGCAGCTGCACACCCTGAACCAACAGAAAAGTCAATACTTAAAGAGGATAACGCCGATGAAACCCCCATAGAGCCGTTCAAACTCAACGATATGACCTTTGAAGTTGGCCGGCATGAACTGTTAGCCGTAATTGGAACAGTCGGTTGTGGCAAGAGTTCCTTACTCTCGGCTCTGGCGGGCGATATGCGTGTGACCGATGGTACTGTACGTCTGAGTACCACACGCGCATTCTGTCCCCAGTATGCCTGGATCCAAAACACCACCGTGCGCAACAACATTCTATTTGGGAAGGAATATGATGAGGCTTGGTATCAGCAAGTTATCGATGCATGTGCACTCACTCCAGATCTCGAGATCCTACCGAATGGAGACCAAACCGAGATTGGAGAACGAGGTATCACTGTCTCTGGTGGACAGAAACAGCGGTTGAACATCGCCCGAGCCATATATTTCAATGCGGAAATGGTGCTCATGGATGATCCTTTGTCGGCTGTCGATGCACACGTTGGTCGTCACATCATGGACAAGGCAATCTGTGGTTTGCTCAAAGATCGCTGCCGAATCTTGGCGACGCATCAACTCCATGTGCTCAGCCGATGTGATCGAATCATTGTTATGGACGCGGGCCGGATCAATGCGGTTGATACATTCGAAAACCTGATGCGCGACAATGAGGTCTTCAAGCGGCTGATGTCTAGTTCTCGACAGGAGGATATGCAAGAGGAAGAGGAAGAGGTTGTGGACGAAGTCACGGATGAAATAGACGAAAACGAGCCAAGCCCCAAGAAGGCCGCCCCAGCAAAACCCGCAGCAGCCCTGATGCAGCAAGAAGAAAAGGCCACCGAATCCGTTGACTGGAGTGTCTGGAAGGCGTATATCCAAGCCTCCGGCAGTTATTTCAATGCTGTCATGGTATTCATCTTGCTCGGCCTCACGAATGTCGCCAACGTCTGGACTAGTTTGTGGCTGTCCTACTGGACTTCTGACAAGTACCCGGGGCTGTCGACCGGCCAGTATATTGGAATTTACGCTGGACTGGGTGGCAGTGTTGTTCTCTTGATGTTCTCTTTCTCGACCTATATGACCACGTGTGGTACGAATGCTAGCAAGACTATGCTTCAGCGTGCGATGTCTCGGGTGCTCCGCGCGCCTATGAGTTTCTTCGACACCACGCCACTTGGACGAATCACCAACCGTTTCTCGAAGGATATCCAGGTGATGGATAATGAACTTTCCGATGCGATGCGTATCTATGCCTTGACGATGACTATGATTATCTCTATAATGGTCCTAGTCATAGTGTTCTTCTACTACGTGAGTAATCTTTCCCTTGAAATGTCTTGGGTATTTGTGGTGCGAGATTTGCTAACCCCCTTTAGTTCGTCATCGCACTTGTTCCTATGATTGCACTGTTCCTACTAGCTTCGAACTATTACAGAGCGTCCGCCCGTGAGATGAAGCGCCACGAGAGTGTCTTGCGCTCAATGGTGTATGCCAGATTCGGCGAAGCCATCACAGGAATCGCATGCATTCGAGCATATGGCGTAGAGAACCAATTCCGCCGCACCATTCGAGACTCGATCGATGTGATGAACGGGGCCTATTTCCTCACTTTCTCCAATCAGCGTTGGCTCAGTGTCCGACTCGATGCCGTGGCGACTTTATTAGTCTTCGTGGTCGGTGTTCTGGTTGTCACTTCTCGGTTCAATGTCTCGCCCAGTATTTCCGGGTTGGTGCTGTCTTATATCTTGGCTATCGCACAGATGCTCCAGTTCACGGTTCGTCAGCTGGCCGAGGTTGAGAACAACATGAACGCCACAGAACGTGTTCACCACTATGGTACTGAGTTGGAAGAGGAAGCGCCTTTGCACCTAGCCGAGGTGTCATCTAGCTGGCCCGAGAAGGGCCACATCGAGTTCAGCAGCGTGGAGATGCGCTACCGGGCTGGCCTTCCACTCGTCTTACAGGGCCTCACCATGGACGTGCGAGGAGGCGAGCGCATTGGTATTGTCGGCCGCACTGGCGCCGGCAAATCGAGTATCATGTCTGCACTATTCCGTTTAACTGAACTATCAGGGGGTAGCATCAAAATTGATGACATCGATATTTCCACTGTCGGCCTCCACGACCTTCGATCCCGCCTTGCCATCATCCCCCAAGACCCCGCTTTATTCAAGGGCACGATCCGCTCGAATCTTGATCCGTTTAATGAGCACAATGACCTCGAACTATGGTCTGCCTTGCGCAAGGCGTACCTCATCGAACAAGAACAAGAACTCGAAGGCGAGGAACTGCCAAGCGGGCCAGCCAGTGGAGCCACTACCCCAGTCACAGGCAGTGACGTGAAAGCGCGCCCGACAAAAGCACTCACCCTTGAATCGCCTGTCGACGACGAAGGCCTGAACTTTTCTCTAGGCCAGCGGCAACTGATGGCCCTCGCCCGGGCGCTGGTCCGTGACGCACGTATCATCGTTTGCGACGAAGCTACCTCTTCCGTTGATTTCGAGACCGATCAAAAGATCCAGCATACTATGGCTCAGGGCTTCGAAGGGAAGACTTTGCTGTGTATTGCGCATCGCTTGCGCACTATCATCCACTATGATCGCATCTGTGTTATGGATAAGGGTCGGATTGCTGAGATGGATGCACCAGTTGTGCTGTGGGATAAGGCAGATGGCATATTCCGTGCCATGTGTGAGCGCAGTGGGATCACACGCGAGGACATTCTCAATACTGACTGAGATGATTGATGTTTTGAAAATCAGTACATAATCTCTACACATCATACATATAAAATACTAAGGCACGTCAAAAGTGACTATTAATTAATACATACACACATACGTATCATCTTTCAATTCTGCATCTCTACATTATTCTCTATAGAACATTTGAACACGAAGAACTAATCACTCCTTATCCAATTCACAAACCAATTCCATTCCCAAATTCTGCATCATCCCTTCAACCCCAGCTTCCTTCCACCCAGCAAGATCCCTCTCATCCAACTGCACCTTCTCTTCCTCCTCCGACAACGCCCCAACAGGCAACCCAGTAAACTTGACCGGCAAACCAGGCGCAGTACCAACAACCCTCATACGCAATCCCGTCAAAATACCACGCAGATGATCCGCCGCTTTCCCACCACCCCTCCCACCATACGAAACAATCCCCGCCGGCTTCCCCTTCCACTCGAAGTAGAGATAATCAAGCGCGTTCTTCAGACTCGCAGGGATACTCCAGTTATACTGCGGTGTAACGAAGATAAACGCATCGTACTGTCGCACTACAGCGGACCACGCCCGCGTGTGCGCTTTGCTGTAGTGCGGGGTGGGGTCTGCGGGGGTAGGCTGGCGGGGATGACAGACTCGTCGTAGAGGGGTAGGGATTGTTTTGCTAGGTCGATGATTTCGAATGTTATATGGCGTGGATCTGTGTCGGGTGTTCCGTTGTGGTTTGTTGGGATCGTCGGGTTGGAGATGAGGACGTCATAGACGTACTGCGTTATTGTGGGGTTGAGACGCGGGCTGCGCGTGCTGCTGGTGACTATCGCGACACGTTTGGGGGGCATTTTGAGTATGTTGTAAATGACTCCTGGGAGTATGAATTGGGGAATCCTTTTTTTATATATGAGGTTTCGTGGGAGGCTATGGTTTCGGGGTTGCGGACATAGTAGCTCGGGGGAGTCGGAGTTCAGAAACTCGGTATTTTACTACATTTGGTTTTTTTGGAAAAAAAATTTACTTTCGGCTATTATTGGAATCAATTAGAATGGTTTATGATGATCTTCATTTTTGAAAAAAGATACAAGCTACGCAGTAGTTAAATTAAGATAGTATAACAAAATAGTGGGAAACATTGGAAAGCCACTGCCATTCTGGACTTTGCATAAAAGAACCCAAGGAAGATTGAACAGAATCTGTCAAAGACACAGAGTTGCCGGCTCTTATATACCTCTCCTTCAATTTTTGAAACAATGACTATATACCCAAGAATCAAGCACAAGACATAAAGCAATGAGTCTGTCCCTGAGTGCCTATCTCTTCCAACGCAGGATCCGGTCTCCGCAGCCAATTAGCCAGCATATTGGTGCAGTGATCAACATGCTCTAGGTCCCTAAGCATATTATCCAGACGAGCACCACGCATGTGAACATCGTGGCCTCGTCGAAGTAGATACAGACAATGGACCAGATGCTCGCGGACAGCAGTCCAATAGAAGTCCGGGTTATTGCCGAGTTCAGTGTAATCCTTCATCTGCTTGGTGGCAGCCTCATCATAGAAATAGACAAACGGCTTGCCGTTATTGAAATGCGCGAACTCGTGCGTGAAGTCGTGCGGACATTCCTTGTGCAGCCAGCAGCCAGCAAGAGGATCGTAGGCGCACCCGAGGGCTTCGGCCTCCTTGGTTGAGTTTCCGCATGAGTATCTTACTCGTGGAGCTGGTGGAAGGCACTGTCGCTGGCCTTCGAGTGATTCCGGGTATGCAAGCGAATCAGAAGGTGGTCCTTTTACAACAACGACCTTGCGGAAGGGTTCCACAGTGATAGCTGTAATTACGGCAATGACCACGAGGAGTAGGATCATGAGCAGGCCAGTGATGGTGATTGCAGCAAGGTTTCGTTTCAGAAATTGATGGAGGCCCCGACGGGGTGGTCTGTTTGTGGTGGTGGCATCGCTGTCGCCATCAGCATCGCCTTTGGGGACGGGGTCGTAGTCGCGGGAGAAGACTTTGTCCATCATGACAGAATCAACGAGCGATGACGTTGGAATTTTCCGTGGAATTGAAGAGAGGAGAAAGATCTCTTTTCCAGGTAACAAATGACCAGCAGCTGCACATGACGTTTATTGAGACTGTAGTCTTATTCACAGGACAAAGAGTAGATGTACAGGCGAGTTCTATAGATGGCCCGATAGAGATGTCAATAAGACTCGGGAAATAATAAACCAACCAAAGGCTGACCATTTAATAGAGATCACGTCCGAGCGAAGAGTTCAATAAGAAAGACTAGGAAGAAATGGTTGGTCCGAAACAAAGAAACCCCAGAAACCCTAGAAACTCGGCAACATCATTTTCAAAGACATCTGTCGCTCATACTCTCTCATACTTTCTTTATTCCCATGCACTTTAAAAAGCACTTCATATCTTTAACATAAATGCATTGCTCGAAGTATCTATATAACCAACTAGACTGAGCACAATATTCAAATATCCACCAACAAATTCATCTCAAGGCATATTCACAAAATCCCCGATGCAGGACTCACACCAAAAGCAGTTTACAAAAAGAATAGAAAAAGAACAAATGTACAAAGCGAGCACAAGGCCGGCTTTAGGCTCTAGATCTGTCACCAATCTAGAAAACTAGACAACGAAGACAGTCTGGTTGAGAGACTCCAAGAATGCAGAAGGACCGGCCTGCAATTCAACAATTAGCATACTTAAATTCCAGCAAATGCAAGAGATTTACTTACACCAATCAGAGACGCATGGGCGATATTAATCTGGCTTTGGCCAAGGGTAGCCGAGGCCGGCACCGTTACCGTGAAGTTCTCATATGGGGGCAGGTAGGACTCGTGGTACACGGGGTTGAAAGGCCCGTTGTATAGAATTGTTCCGAGAACCTCATCTGCGTCTCTGCAGGGTGAGGATGCACATGAGGAGAGACCGATTGCTACGCCCATTTCCTTGGACGGACTCAGAGAGTTCTGAATGATATATTAGTATAAAGGATTGGGGTGACTAAGTTGGAAGAACTTTGCATCCCGGACTCTTGAACTTACAGGACGCTGAACTTGGATAACGACTTCCTTGCCGGAATTGATTTTCTGGTTCTCAACGGGGAGTCCGATTGTGGCTCTCTGGGCAATGGCCGCGACGATGAAGAGAACCATAGAGAAGATGGACTTCATTTTGATTGATAACAAAGGGTTGTAGAGTGGGAAATATGCTAGTGAGACGATAAGATCGTATAAGATGTTCTGTGGTGTGGTGAATCATAAGATGCGATGATCGTGGGGTATTTATATACTCAAAATCTGGATGAAGGGTTCGCCCTAACAGTGACCCCTAGGATTCTAAAAGCGTCGAAGATGATGATTGGCCGAGTCTCTCTAAGTTTCAGATACAGTTCAAGGAAGCCACGGATAGCCGCCTGACGCTAAGGTCAATCGGGAAACTACATTGGAAAATCTCCCTTTATTATAGATTCGCCTTGCATATTGAAGTAAGCAAACAGGCTGTGGTCTCACCTTCAACGGCCAGGAACGAACACGGGCTTGATTTCAAATCTGCCCCTCATATTATTGGCAAGGTTTTAAGATTTGAGGGTTCGTACGGTGGCTATCTCACATATGAGCTAAGCCCATGATATTTCTTGAGATATAACAGTGGCTTGAGGGAGATAAACGTCTACAATATAGGGCTACATAAGATGCATTGGTCAGCTGAGAGTTCTCCACAACCCCCAGAAATAGAATGATCGCTAACAGGTAAATGAGGCTGAACAGAGCAAATCTTACCAAACATGCAAACGTCAGGGCCAAAATTAGAATATCCAAAATGAGATCATAGTTTCTGGTAGCAATTGAAACCTCTTGGTTCTTACACACGGGACTGAATGGGCCCGTAGTAACTTGTTGACCATTGTCCTTTTCTACCAAGTGTAATCTCTCTCCTTTGAGCTTGCTGTGTCCCTCGTTTACCCTACTTCTCATGTTCAGATTGCGGTGTTGAGTTCATCTGACAGCAGGGTAGCAGGGTTAACAAACCCTTGCCTCGTTCCTAAGGGCTATGTGTGGGCCATCAAGGCACAAAATCGCCTTACATTTTATTTTCCGTTGGTAGAATATGGTGTAACTCTTCCATCGTTGGGTGACATGACCTCGTTACGCACTAACCAATCAATTCTAGTAAATCATGGTGCTGGATTCTAATATCAGATTGTTCATATTTTTGCCCATCATCGTGTTTTGATATTCATTTCGCCGCTTTCAAAAGGCATGATATCGCTAAAGAGAGGCGATACAAAACACTAGAAGAGAGTGGCTATATTTTTCGTGTTGATGGGCAAAGGAGAGTCATCGTCGAGGACAATCTATTCCCATCCACCACTCTATTCACCAATCTATCCACCACTGTCAGTTACGCGCCCCCGACCATATCGCTTGGTTCGACAATGAACCTAGCAAGTCAACATTTTTTTATCTCATTCACTATTATCCTTTCAATTCATCAAGTGGTAAAATAGCTGTATCTCTTTTCTCCAATCCTTAGATCGACAGAGGGGTGACGTCTTGGCCCCCGGCCCCCGGCCCCCAACTTCACCTACAGAAAACCAGAATACTTGTACTCCGTACTCCGTACGGGAGTACGTTTTATTCTTTATTAACCCTATTTTTATTATGTTGTACTTTTGTAAATTTAATTCTTAAATTCCTGTCAATTCTGCGCTTTTCCCTGAAAATCTCCATGAACACGTTTTCACCTGGTGACACTGCTACACGAGGAAACTCACTATGCGTGGAACACCATCAACACCGAAGTAAGTCCTTTTCTACGCTAAGAACAGCTCAAGCTAACTTACCGCAGCGGCTTGGAAATCCTCCCACAAGATTGCTGGGTGCAGATTCTGGATAAAATTTCGCCCTCTGACACTGCATCTGTAATAGCTACATCCCGAGCCCTACAAGTCTCTTCGGAGGGCTCACTATATCGCCAGGTCCATATTGACTGGACCAGACCCCCACTCAAGCGGGTCCTGGCTCTATTCCGTGCCATTCACAAACGTCCAGATCTGGCTGAGCAGGTTCACCATGTGAGTATGATCACCTCGAAACTGGTGTATCCAGCACCAGACCCGGAAGACGAGTGGGAGTTGCCTCAAATAGATGGCGACTGGGACCAGCTCTCGTCCCTCTTTCAGGATGAGGTGAACGCTGCGAAAGATATCATCATCAAGGCACAGTTTCCCTCATCAGAAATGTGGATTCATGCCCTAGAATCCGGTGACCCATACGCATTTGTGTCTGTGCTTCTTTCTCAACTTCATAATCTCCGGTCGCTACAACTCGATCACACCTTTGTGTGGCAAGCTGGGTTTCCGGGGTTGATGATAAGACATGCTCTTCTCTCTGCGCCTGAGAACATATTATCTCAATTTTCACAACTCTCTGTTGTCGAGTACGGTCTGAATGTTCCAGGTTCTAGAAAGTTTAACGACACGAGATGGAATTTCATCGATGCATTCCCCGTTTGTGACCCGAATCAATTTGCAGGCTGGTTCTATCTTCCTTCTTTGAAATCCCTAGAAATCTGGATCCAAAGTTTCGAGGGTATCAGCAACGAGTTGTCTAAGCCTGCTGAGTCAAGCAAACTAGCGCATCTAGCCCAGCTTAAAAGACTCGTGTTGACGGAATCTTCTGTTGATGAGGATGATGTTAGAAAACTATTATTACGCCTCTCTTCGCTGAAGAGTCTTCACCTAGGCCTTATCTACCCATCACAAGATAAGGAACTCGATTATAACTGTTGCTCTCCTCAACCTCCTCTCAAAAAGCAAGGTGTGCTTCTTGAAGGGCTGATGAGTATAAAAGACACAGTTGAAAATCTTTCTATTAGCTTGGAACTTTGTCCACTTTGGTGGCCTGCTGTCTGGGGCGCAATAGAACGTGATAATGGAACCCCACAAGAAAGCTTCAAACCATTCAAAGGAATCTTGATGCGGTTCCCGCTTCTTCGAACCGCAGAGCTGCCTGCAGTCATGCTTTTTGGATGGACTTGTGCCGGTGCACCAGCTTTGTCTGAGCTTCTACCGCCAACACTTCGGAAGCTCGCCATTCGGGACAACCTGTGGTGTGAGGAGGACTATGAGTGGGAAACGGATCAAGTTGGAGAGGCAATTCAGAACTTCCTCCCCTTTGCACAATCCGTGACCCCCATGTTGAACAAAATTATAATTAGATGCTTTGGTATCGGAGAAGAGGGTGATATTGACCCAGACGATTCCATGGGGGCTAGATCATCATGCGAGAAGCTTGGACTGGACATAGACATCAGTATGATCCAGTATAATCTCTCGCCGGGACTTTGGACGATGCACAGGGGACTTGAAGAAGGATCTTGGAGAGATTTATCAAATTGTTAATCTAGAACTTAGATTCTTCAACTACTCAGTCGATCAGATTCACATTCACCATGCACCTCAACGTCTCTGTGGACCTCTCCGGGTGGATGAGGGATGAAAGAAAGGTGGTGGAATATACAAAGTAAAGAGAGGAATAGAGGTTAGATAGATAATTTTATCTCGCAATTTTTATTTGAGGGCCTAGTGCATCTTTGTTTCATTCTGTCATTTGATATTACAGATTTGAATCGCAGTGAAAAGCAAGTAACAGAAGATAAAGCCCCAAATGACTGGCATTACTATTTACATGTCCAAATAACACCTAAAACATTGACTAATAATGCCTAATCTATGTTGAGAGCAAGGTAGATGAAAAAGGGCATGCACATGCATCTTGTTAATGATATTGAAACAGGCATAGTGAACGGGACAACCCAAACTATGCCAAAGATGCAATGACAGCGCTGGAACGGTAGAAACGTTCTTAGAAATGAAGTGCAACACGACGCAGAAAATACGGCGCGAAATGTGTAAAGAAAAAAGCAAACTGGCCTGCCGGCTATCCCTATGATCCATCAGGCATCCATGGGAGTAGACATTGATTTTTTGGGGGGTTTTTTTCTGGAAAAAAAAAAAAAAACAAAGAACATGTGTGACGCAAGGAAAGGACGCCTGGGGTAGAAAATGTCAACGTTGAACGCGAACAATCAAATGATAAAAGAAAATAAAGCCCACTCAATAAAACAGAGCGCTTTAGCCTTCTCACAATAAGAACACTGGAAAATTAACACTCACCTGATTCTTCAAAGCTCAGTCACCTCTCGGACAGTGAATCAATTCATCTGAGAGCTCTCAAAGGCTTTGGGTAAGCTGAACAAGTGAATTACAGCCACTTCTTTTTCTCGGCATCAACAGCTGCTGTAATGAGCACCTGTCTTCGTCTCCACCTCCTCTTACGCTTCGTGTTCCGTGGGTTTCGAAAACACTGGTCAACCGGATGCCTTGTGAGACGCCGGTGATAGGGACAGTATGCCTTGGGAGAAATTTCCATTCGATCCATGTCAGTGGAGATACTATCTATGTCACTCAAGGCCGGGGGTTCGGTTCCTAGCCGGTCGGCCTCAAACTCTAGGAAATCGGCGTAAGCTTCATCTAGAATGGATGCCGGCAGAGAGCCTTGTTTGAACTGGAGTGACTCAATCCATGGAATGGTGCTGGGGTGCACACTGACCGCAGCAAGGAACTGATTGAGGACAAAGACCGTGGGAAGAGATGGGGGTCCAAAGGCCTCTTTCATCTCTGCAAGGGCGTGTTTCCAGGAATTCACGAATGCCTCGGGTGAGTTTGATGAATAGTACACTGTGTGAGTCCAGGTCATGAATTTGCGATAAGCAAAAAGCCACTCGCGGGAAGTTTTCTCCGGAACGTCAGCAGGGTTTCTGGGGTAAGAGGTTCCCATAGAGTAGTTCGGATTAGTGTAAGCAATGTTCAAAGGAGGGGGGCAAGAAATTGGGAGCCAGGAATTATAGGAATCATCATCGGCGGGCCATATGAAGGAGGTCCCAGCGGAGCAGGCTCAAATATGACAGGGTAGGTTAGCGGCTGTCCGTAGGGGCCATAGACAGTAGGGTTCGGACCAATGGATGGAGGACCGAAGTACTCGGGACCATACTGAGCTGGGACTGGAACTGGAACCGGAACTGGACCTGGAGCGACTGGAGTCAGGCCGTAGTAAACAGCCTGGCCCTGAAATTGGGGTACTGGATCCCCCGTATCAGGGACGAGCATGTTGACGTTGACTTCAGTGAGTGTAGTTGTGATGAATTGGTCTTGATATTGTGGCCGCTTCAGGGGATTTTGTCTCATATATGATAGCTTGAGACAAACAGCGTTGATGGACGTAGATTTAATACTAAAAAGGATATGACTGGACTCTTTAGGAAGTCAGAAGTTGTTTAAGTAGATGTAAAGAGGTCGACGAGGATAGGTCGGACTGTGGATATATATGGTTTGTTAACGCGCGGGAATGGAAACGCGCGGGGGATAGATAACGTGGGACAGAATGCACAAGGATAGAGTGTATAGTATTAGGATAGAACGCGCGGGCATAAAGGGCATGGTATAAGAATAGAGCGTATAGTATTCGGATAGAATGCGTGGAGATAGGAATCTGATGTCTTATTATGTCACATCTGTTTGCTTCATTTGGTGCGAACTTGCATCTTTGCTGGCAAACAAGGCCGCTGGTAACAAAGCCATTGACGAACAAAGCCATATCCCATTCAAATTGATACTTAATAATAAATCTAGACCTACGAGTTTGACTCCGGGCATTTTATGCCCGCAAATGTGGCTATCGAATCCTCAAACATGGTTCAGACCATGGCTCGGTGATTGAGCCATAAAAGACCGGTAGTTGATCTAGGCACGTCGATATGGAATTAGGTCCGAGAGCTAAAAGGGGAAACTTGAAATTGTCCACGGTGATTCCGAGTTATGACTTAGAAACAGCTATTACGTGTTCTAATGCCTATTTCTGCAGGAGCTTTCAGTGCGAGACTGGATGCCCAGCGCCTAATTATACTTTGTAAACCTCGGCATTGGTTGGCATCTTGGCTTTACTATAAAAGCCGAATTATGCGACCCGCATCGGGCAGCTGCAGGCATCGGAGCTATAACCAGCTGATCGACATGAGCCAAAGGATTTCCAGATCACTTCCAGAAGTATTCTGGGAAATTCTGGGTTAATTTAAGTTCCAAGGTTTGATTGGGACAGTCAATTCCATGGTTCATCGTAAAAATATCCTAAAATGATAAAATGATGAACTTGGTACGCAGTCGTGATCCGGACTTATGTCGGACAGAGTTAGGGTAATTATCTAGGTAGAGGTCCACCGGGAAACCAAAAAACAAAAATGTAATTTATAGCAGATAGCAGGGTAAGCTCGGATAATGTACTCCGTAATATAAGTTGCATCATTCAATATAAAACAGCTCCAGATGTGGTTCCAATGAATCCAACAAAGCCACATGGAAAAGAACGATGGGGGTGGAACCCATCGTGATCTGATAGCCACCCATTTTGGCACGTTCCACATCCCCCTCTCCACATCAATTATGTTACTTTGATCACATTGTATTTTCAGTTTGTTAATATCAAGGCTGGGAGTATATCTTCTGCCCCGATACAATTCTATGGTCAAACATGCCACTTTCGTTCCTGGACGATCTTTTTTTGACGGGATCCGCCCGATCGTCGTACCCTCACTACCTTACCCATCCCACCTTAGCCCTATAAGTCACCTTCGAGAGTCGGAATGAACTCTTTCTCTCCTCGCGATTTCCAGGAGTGGGTAGATCGACGCCAAAGCACCCAGTCAGCCTCCACCGTGTCGTCTGCGTCAACGAGTGTCCTCTTCCCGAGCCCAGCGACATCTCCAGGGTCCAGCTCGAGGAAGCAATCCTGGCAGTTCTACGATGATGTCGTGCGGCTCGAGTTGACTCCTTCCGTGCAAATGTCTGTGCCGAGAGAAAAAAAGGTTCCCGTCAGATTAGAATGCGCTGACTTGTTTATAGTTCATTTGTCAAAAACGGCCAGCTATTCAAGCTGAAATACAAATTCATTGATATCTGCAAAGACTCCACGGGCGCGTTGAGGTGTCTCGAACTCGGCGGAGGATTAGGCCAGCAAACACCTTTTGTCCACGGCTGTGAGTTGTCACGCATATTTCCGAAAGATATAACATGCTGACCATTTAACTCATGCATAGTCTCCAATACAAAATTGCCAGTCCCTCACCTAGAGCATCCAAAATCAGGCGGCGATTACCCTCTTCGCGTGTCCTTTATGGACCAGCAAACTGTCCAGACGGCAAGCACAGTATTCATGACGCAATTATCATATAAATTTGATCACTGGGATGGTACGCGACCGATAAACCTCGGAGAGTCAATCTTTACTGACACCAGCAGATTGTGTACGATTTCAGGAACTGCTACTAGGCTCTAAGTTGATTTTTATCGGTGGGATGGCCGAGGCCAAGTCCAAAGGCCGGGGTGAAGAGTGCATCAGTCAAAATCTTCGCATCCTCCGCGGGCATAACGGAAAACGAGTTATGCTGTTCTTTGCTAACTCGCAACGGAGGGAGCTCAAACGATACGTTTCCATTCCCTGTAAGTTGTTTCGTTTCTATCGGGGCCCAGATCCACTACCCCTGTTGCGGTGACGTTGCTAATAATCCTAGTAAATTGCATCGGTTCGATCAAACCCCCGAAGAAGGCAGGGCGGCCAGCCCTACTTGATCTAAATCCGAACTTCGAGATTCTGTCTCAAATGAGAAATCTTACGATTCAGTTCCTTGACGATGATGGTCAGTGCACATTTTTTTAAGTTTTTGCTCATTTCGGACTATTGGCTTATTCTTCTGTCTCTTTTCCAGACTGCACAGCATTTTGTCAGATGTTGTCATACGACCTGACGATTGGATGAATAGTTCACGAGGACCGATCCATTATAAATTCCTCAAGTCTGTTACGATAAATTTTTACACGGAGTTGGAGTTCCTGGATAAATTGGGGGCCAAGATATGTATCATGTACATAATACCAAGATACCCCTGGGCGTTACATCTTTTGAGACATAGAACTGCATCCACGTGAAGGGTTAATGAAATTACAATTCAATCTTTTACTGGTTACCTGGTTACTGGTTAGGTTACCTGTGTAATTAGAATAAAATGGCTCATTACACGGAGTACGGCGTACGGAGTAAATATTAAATATTAAATATATTAAATATATTAAAAATCCCCAAGGTTCCAGAGTGTCTCTCATAAAGGGAGAAAGGGAACAATAACCCTCGTGGTTGCCCGTTGCCTGTGGGTCCATTTTTGGGAGGTCGACAAGTCAAGCATCAGAGATGTCGCACGTGGAGAAAACAACCCTAAAGCTTTGGCTCGTTCCAAGGTTCGCCGCCTAGTCCCGCATTAGCGTCTACAGGGATCACGGGCCTCTTACAATCTGTAACCTTTGGTTTAACCTTGAAAGCCCCGGGTTTAATCAAAGGCATCTTCTATTCTTTGAAATGTAGAAATCTTCAAATCTTTCAACTTTCTACTATTCAAGATGGGCAAATTCCACGCCCGGTTGTATAAAACCGACCGTGCGCGGGACTTCGACCATGAGCAGGTAACTACATATGGAGTCCCCCGCTTGTTGATGAGCAACATGGCATGCAAGATCGAGATAGCTAATACTTTAGTTATAGGATCGATATGTCCGCATGCGACAGATCTACGAGACCATCGACAGGCAAGGCTTTCAATGGATTGTCGTGCTCGTCGCTGGTCTTGGGTTCTTCCTCGATGGTTACACAGTACGTTACCCCACCTTCCACGTGGAAGATACTATTGGAATGTTGTACTTGATGCATATTCAACATCTGCTAATGCTTGACATAGTTATTTGCCAGTAACATGGCCCTACCAATGATCTCCTATGTCTACTGGAGAGACGACATTTCCTCATTACGACTCACCTGCATCAATATCGCGACACTTGCCGGAACCCTGCTGGGCCAGGTGACATTTGGATTTTTAGCTGATAAAAATGGGCGGAAGAAGATGTATGGTGTTGAGTTGGTACTCCTCATTACAGCCACTCTAGGTGTGGTTATGTCCTCGACCGGCGTGGACGGCAGCATGAACGTCTTTGCTTGGCTTATCTGGTGGAGAATCTGTGTTGGTATTGGAGTTGGCGCGGATTATCCACTTAGTGCAGTGATCACATCTGAGTAGGTTGATCGATCTCGAACTCTTCAATCGCGGAGGAAAAGCTGACCTTGAAATGTCTAGATTTGCCCCTACCAAACATCGCGCCCGCATGATGGCCACCGTCTTCTTCATGCAACCACTCGGTCAGATCGCAGGTAACATTGTCTCATTGATTGTGATCGCGATAGCTCGGAGTAATAGCAGTCCGGGTGAAGATCTCACCCGCACTGTCGATATAATGTGGCGCTGGGTGATCGCCATCGGAGTCGTACCTGGTGCAGTCGCTACTCTTTTCCGATTCGCTATCCCAGAGAGTCCTCGTTACCTAGTCGATATCGTGGATGATCCCGTCACTGCAGAGTTTGATGCAACCACGCTTTTCAGCGACACACCCGGTATGATTGATTCTGTGAGCTGGGGAACCACTGCTACATGCAGTGCTGGTAGCGCGATTCAACTACCCCCGATTTCATCCATTGCTAGCCACTCAACCTTTGACCATGATGACGATGATGAGTTTACCCGCCTACCTCCCGCTACCCTCAACTCTCACTGGCGCTTGGCACGAACCGACATCGTGCGGTACTTCTGGACGGAAGGGAACTGGCGCAGCTTGGCCGGTTGCTCTCTCGCATGGCTCCTTCTTGACTTTGGCTTCTACGGTATCGGATTGTCGAGCCCTCAATTTTTAGCTAAGACGTGGGGCCAACTCAATATCTCCAAGTCATCACCGAACTGGATGACTGACGATGCACCAAATGCCAACATCTACACAATGTTCATGGAAACCTCTGTGCGCGGGTTGATTATCCTCAATATCGGAAGTTTTGTCGGTGGCATACTGCTCATTATCTTCGCCCATAAGCTGGATCGTGTTGCACTACAGAAGTACATGTTCCTCGGACTGGCGGCTCTGTTTATCGCCCTGGGAACCATGTTCGTCACTCTTTATACCGGCCCTCCAGCTGTGGTGGCATTGTATATTGTTGGCCAAATCATGTTCAACTTTGGTGAGTCGAACCCAGGATACGACGCGTCGAATCATTCTAACCAATTATCCGCAGGTCCCAATGCAACAACATATATGATCCCCGCCGAAATCTTCCCAACCCGATACCGCGCAACATGTCACGGCATCAGCGCTGGAGCCGGAAAACTGGGCTCTATTCTCGTACAAATCTTCTCAACATACTATCACTTTGGTGCAGGTCCGGGTAACAAATCAACCCGCAAGCACGGCATTGTTCTCCTTGTTTTCAGCGCCTGCATGGTCATTGGCGCAGCAGTCACTCACTTTTGGATTCCACCCATTCAACAAAGACGGAATGGGAGAACCAAGCTTTGGGGTGGTAAACCCGAGACTCTTGAAAGCTTGTCTCTTGGCCGAATGGGCCGCAAGAGTCGAGATGCCGATTGTCGGAAACGAACATCACGGCATCGGGCACTTTCAATGAGTGCGTAGGTATTACTACTCTCCATGTCTATCTTTAATTATTCTTTTGTATATATTTTGAATCTCTTTTGTTTGCATTTGGGGGGTCCTGGCTACATGAATATGAACCAATATACGCTTTCAGTCCAATGAAATGAACTTTATAAATACATTCACAATTCAACCTCAGGAGCGATAACCATCAAGCAACCGCCCCGTAGCCACCTCATCAAGATAAAGCGCAACATCCATCCCACCATACCCAACGGCACTATCCATCACCTGAACACACCCATCCATCTTAGGCATAGCGGCATGCACATAACGCGGCTTATCCCCACCCACAAAATCAATTTCATACAACCGCAGCCTCAACCACGAGGTAACAATCGTATGTTCAGATCCCAGAAACGCCTGCCACAGCCGCTGCGGCGACACCTCATGGGCAGCATCATGCAACATCGCACCCACAGCATCCGCCGTAAACCCCTTCATCGTCTCCCGGATCCGACTAGCCGTTTCGCCTAATATTTCCCGACATACCGACGAAGCGGCCCCACCAACGTGAGTCAGGAACAGCGGGGATCCGATGAACGTATCAGGAAGAGCGGGGAAACACGCGGTCGGGCGCCGAGGCTCAAATTCATATATACGGGTCTTGGAGACTCGGCTTGTCCGCGTGCTCGTGTAATGGCTATCCACAGGTGTGCGAGTAAGGCATCTAGTCTAGAGATATCACATCGACCGCCCGGTGTATCGAGGGCCATAGCTTGGAATTTGCGTAGCTCTTCGCCTGTGAAATGCAACTGTGTGTATCTGACTTTCTTGGAGAAATCCCACGAAGCCCACGGCGCTGGTTCTGAGGGCGAGACTCGTTTGTGGTCGATTTCTGCGGGCGGCGGTTTGGAGTTCTCTGTCGTCGGTATTAAGAATTCAGGGCCGCCCTCTTCGACAACATTCCACCAGCTATACCGATGCAAGGGTAATTTTCGCGCGGTTTGTACGAGGGTTTGATCGGGCTCGGGCCCATCGATCTCACCCGCGGCGCAGCTGTCCAGCATTGCGGGATCGAACACGGGCTCACCCATTAATGGTAATTCGGGTTGGTTTCCAAATTGCTTTTTGCTGTTATATGCCCATAAATGGACAAATACCATTAAAGCCTGTGCGTCTGCTAGACAGTGCGCCATCTGGATTCCGATGGCGTATCCCCCTTCCTGGAGAAGAGTGATTTGAACTTGCACTGCCGGCAGACCGGCATAGTCGCGCAGATTGGCCAGTGCCAGTGGGCTGGATGGTAGGAATAATTTTTGGTTAAAGTCATCGCCTGCCCATACCCCGGGTTGAGAGCCGGTGGTTGATGAAGATGAAGCCCGTTCTTCCGCTGTCGGGACGATTTCGTCTGCTCGGAAGGGATGCTCGATTACTATCCATTCAACACCAGGGTCGGTGTCTGTTCCATATACAATCAATGGGCGATTGAATCGCTCGGTGTGATTTCCTTTGGGGTTGACGAGTGCCCATTGTAGTTGGCCTGCCCATTGAGGGAATTTTGATATGGTTTCAATAAAGGAAGTTCGCAAATTCTCGATCAAGGTCTTCTGGTCTAAGTCTATATGTTGGCTGAAAATCCAAATTGCTCCTGTTGGAGTAAAGCGCACGACTGTTGCGTCGAGGATGGATAGGGGTGTTGATGTCGGTATTGGCTGGTTTGCTGGTCGCAGCCTTGTGGATTCGATGGTGGTCATTTTGTTTATGTGCACATTAATTTTGTTCTATTCCTGTAGTTTTCGGATCAATCTCATTCACTTTATCTTCCTGGATAATTCATGAGTCAATATGTGTCATTATGTGCTACTGTGTGTCAACCCCACACTAAGCTTCTAATTCGTTGAGACTAACACCAAAGACCCCGTTCAAGACTGGCCCCACATGTTTATCCCTCAGATGAAGAGAATGAAGACCCAGGAGTGGGCTGCAGATGGTGAAGAACCATGGGAGTGTTGATTTCCCTACCAGTTACAATCACCTGCTGTACATAAGGATGAGCAAAAATGTTTCGGAGACTCGGAAATCGAAAAACTGCCAAACTGATGGAGTTCTCTCGGTCGAGTTGAATGGTTAAAAGGAATTTGGGCTTATGAGTGGCTCTAACCAACCATAACGCCTTACTTTATATACAAACAAGACACTATAGTACAATTATAGATATTCCAGTCACCAACCATCTTAAAAAGAGAAAAAAGCGATGGTGATCCAGAACAGGTGCACGTCCTTCAACAGCTCTTGTCATGATGTCTTGGGCCGTTTCAGCGGATGTCCTCCAGCGTTGAAAACAAACTCATCCAAACTAATCATATCTGGAGAGCTGAACATGAGATAGAAATATTTGAGTGTCTGCGACATCCACATGCTGTCCATCGAGTCTTTTAGGGTCAACTCGCCACCCTTATCCGTGACACCAACGATGGCAGCATTACCATTCTTCGTCTGTGTCGCACTTTGCATCGCCTGGAACATATCCCAAGCTGCATCGAGTAGATCCTCACGTCCACTGATGCGGTAGAGGGTAAACATGCTCTCGATCGCTTCCGGACGCAAGTTATAAGCAGTGTCCGAGATTCCGATGAACCCCTTGGGCAGACGGTGTTCTTTGATGAAATTGACGACCTTCAGAGTTGGATTTGGTTCTGGCTCGAGACTGTTCGCCTTTTTCCAGACCTCTTGCTTCCAAAGCCACTCGCTCCATGGGCAGTTTATCTCTGATGCACATGGAACTACATCAAAGGCTTCGGGCATAATCCCCAGTGGTATGACCCGATGAGCCCAAATGCATCCATCGGTCAACTTATGGGCGATTTCTTGGTGGCTGGGGATGTTGAGTAGTGCGCCTCCTAGTGCAAACATACCCCCGCAAAACAAGATCGGTACTGCATTTGCGACTCTAGGTGTGTTTGCGAATTCCCATTCTCTGTCGTGGTTACTCGAACAGTTCCGGAAAGGAGCACCTCCTTGCCCTCGGGGTTCATTGGTCGGAATATATTGTGGCTTGTGGCGGTAAACGTGGCATTCTCGTACATCTTGCGATACATGGGCACTTTCCCTCCTAGCAAGGCGTATGCCCGGGGTAGCGACTTGTATAGAGAGCTTGCTTCGGCCCCCAATGTGAAGGTATCGTCATCGAAAAGCTCTTCTTTGGCATTCACGGAGACGGGCCACAGCCCTGCTAGCTTGGTAGCGTCCTGTTTTTTGTCAAACAATTCCATGACTCGTTGGGCTGCATCGAAGTATTTTGGGTCACCAGTGATCTGAGACAGCCTTGTGAATTCCAATATGAAGGAGCCTAGTTCCGCACCGAGTACACTCTCCTCCGCAAGCTGCTCCTCTCGGTGGGCAGCTTTATTTGCATTCCAATGTATGACGGGCATTCTGTTTGGAGTATCAAAGGCAGCGTAAAGCATATCGCCCAGCTCGATAGACTTTTCCAGGAGTTTCTGATCAGCGCTGAGATCAAATGCTGCCAGCAAGCCTCCGAGTAAATGGACGTTGACATCATGGGTATTAATTTCGGGACACTTTGCATATTCAAATTTTATATTTGCGACCGCAGCCACGGCCTTCTTGAATTCATCGTGCATCCCCATAATCCACAGTGTGTCAAGGTTATCAATTAGGGTAGCACCCCATCCCCCCAACATATTTTTAGGACTACCACTGAGAGGCGCAAGTTCATCTGCACCCCAAGCAAGCGACCGGTATGACTTCCAACATAGTTCGAAAGCTTCTTTCGCGGCCGACTGTCTGGTAGTTTGGCGGTCCAAATTGAGACGGGATACTTTGGGGTCTGCGGATTGGACCTTGGGCAGCGTCTTGGGCAGTGTGACTGGTAGTGGCTGGACTTCAGCAACTGGGTATCGCACTGGTATTTTTCTCCATAAATATCTAGGGTTGATTTCAAAATTCAGAATGACTTCGGGTGCAGCATGTGGAGTGGTCGAGGGAAGAATGCCGTCGTTTGTGCGATGATAGCGGTAAACCAGGAGCAATAAGAAAGCCCCCCAGGCAAACGCCTATAATCTGACGCCGGGCTCGACTCATGATGATTTTAGATTATAATCACATCGACATATTGCAGTGAAGATGTTATGGTCAACATGGGTGACTAGGGACAAAATTATTAAGGGAAGGAGTCACGAAACTTCCCCCGCGTTTCAATTGGAGAGGGGAGCCCTGGAGCCCTGGAGGTCTAGAAAGTAAGCTTGTGAGAATTTTCCAAAAGAGGAATAGTAAGATTCAATCGATTTGAGAATTCCGTGATGTCTGTTCTAGACTCAGTTCTAGGTTCTGTCATATACGCTTTGTCCCCCTGCGTATTGCACTCCCAAGCCTATATTTATCTGCCTTCCATGGGTTAAGCTTTAATTGTGTCGATTCCAATTAGATATAAAATATTCTATAATAGAATATCTCTTGAAGGATTATGAATTTGTTCAAATATTAAAGAACAGTGTACTCTGTACAACGGAAGACCATTAACTATGCTCCACTCTACACGTCGGGTAGAAACACCTTCGAAACGCTTTAGACACACCCTACAAACCAAAATGGAAATCAGGCCGAGGCCGAGGCCTGTATGGGCCTGCTGACATAACACGGACACTAGGGGTCTAGGTATAACTACCATTTTTCCTCTGCAGGTCGCTGTATAAAAGGCAGAAGCTTATTATGGCTCTAGCGAAACCATGTCTTAGACCTTATCAATAAACCAGGGCCCGTATTCTCGCATCATATATAAAGGAAGTTAGATCGGGCCAATGGATATCGATTGATTGATTGAAAGAAACCTCAGGCATGGTCACTAGGTATCGGCTGCCGTATAACGTCACCGTCTTAGCTTCAACAAAATAATACTCGTGACATGCCCAACACCATAGTACGTACCTTCTTTCTTGGGTGTAAGCTTGCTCATCTCTGACTACATGTTATGGTGAAAACAAACCTAACAACATGGAAAAACATGGGTATACTTTATTAGTGGTATGGAGGAAGAAAAACAATCAGATTTAGGAGGAATGGATACGAGACTTAAACCGCCAGGCATGCTTTTATATGATATCGATACACATCTACCATTCTATTATTACAGCAAAGAATTGGTTTAAATGGCCTGGAGGGCAAAAATGTGTGTTGCATTAATGGTAAATCCAGATCTCCTAGGTGAATTCCACTTCAACCTTGGGCAAAAGAAGAGAATGTCATACCAATTTCACGAAACGGTCACTTATCCTCACATCACCGTCCTCAACGTCTCTCCTCGTCCGGCACATGAAAAACTACGCCGGGCTCTTGCTATCGCTGCTGACCTGATTCACCCTCCTTATGTAGCTCGCCTGGGTAGAAGCTGTGAGCTAACAGACGCTCTGAACTGCAGAAGGCAGAGCATTAGGAATTCAGCTTCCCTCTCGGTAAGAACCTCACCAATGAAGGTCAGACCAGTGCCCGAGGCAGAGGTACCATGCACAGTGTCCAAGTCTGACTGAGTGCCACGGGAGACTGATTGACCTCATTAACACATGGATATGACTCTGCTCGACAAGACGACAAGACCTACCTTCCTTCGCTTCCTTCGCTTCCTTCGCTTCCCTTGCCTTTTTCGCTTTCTTCGCCCTGCCACCTCGAGAACGACGGCGGGTCTTCTTTTCGATCTGATGAGTTCAGATCCAAAATCAATACTTCCCTTTGGTGTGGAGGATATGTCTGTGAATCTTACGGTACGGGTAACGGATACGCGGTTCATGACCGCTAATCCGGCCAGGACGTGACAATTAACCAGGTTGTGACCGGGAAGGTGGCAGTACGTGCAAATGGTCTAGGTACCTCAATTAGTGTATTTTCCAATGATTCATCAACATGCAATTATGTCTGCTTTGGGTGCATCCCAACCACGCATGAAGACCCATTGGAGTCGTAGAGAACGGGCTGAGATGATGGCTTCGTGGGATCAGGTCCACGGTCCACTTACTGGAGGACGTTCGGAATCGGCCATGATGCAACGATCAAATGATCACCAATTTGAGTGGACTTGATGCGGAGAATAGAGGTGGATGGTGAGAGTGGGCAGAGGTGTTTACAGGAGAAAGTGGATGCTCTTGCATGGTTTGAAGCACCCCAGGTGTTCTTCCTCGCGATACGTCCCGGGGTTCCTTCCCACATAGCACTCACGTCAAACTTGGAAGGCACCTGGTCACTTCCAAGCCTACAAGGCTACATATGTAACCCTAGGGGTAGTAGATGTGACAAAGTCTCTATACATCCAGAACTCGCTGTTAAATAGTATTCGAAATACTTCGGAATCGTGATCAGAGGAGCAAGCACTGTATGTAGGACTTTCTCTGGTCATATTTAAGTCAGGGCTTAACCACGATGTCTTTCGGCATCTCTTTGGTGGTTGGTGTGAACTTGTTCATGCTGAGGCTCGTCAATTGGACAATATATCCATGTTGGGTTTATATCATATATTGAATATTGAAATTAGCAGAGTTCTAAGAGATAGCAGATATCGAATCAAGTATAATCAGCAGATGCGATGGCATCAGACCAGGGAAGTTCAAGATCGCATTGTTTCCAGAGAACCCTAGCATCGGACGTGCCAGTTTCGGGGGTATGAATAGATTCGAGGTTATGCATTAGTCTTTTACACGCGGAATTTGTAACAATATATACAAAAAAAAAGTCAATTAGTAGTATCAAGGGTAAAATTGCAAAACAAAAAAAAGAAATTGTTGTGCATCATCCGTGAATCGAACACGGGCCTCGTCGATGGCAACGACGAATTCTACCACTAGACCAATGATGCTAGTTGTTGTAATGGGGCCCACTATTATCCTACATGTCCCTAAACAATTATTCTCTCATTTCTATCGGAACAAAAGCAATTCCATAATCTTCCCAGCTGAAAGACATATAACTTTGATATTATTTTCGGACAAATTGACCTTCATTGGAGATGAAACACTTTTCGGCTGCTTTAAAGAATAATTTGGTGACCAGAAAAGGTATCTGTGTATAGCATTACCTATCAAGCAAAGAGTGGGTTATATATATTTCAGATCGCTGGCTGTCGCACTACAAACCTACATGAGGGGTCGCACACAATGGCGAATGTCACTTATAGCCAAATGTTGTTCACAATAATACATGTCACACCAAGCGCTAATCCGATAATTTTGTGTGTTTATGTATCATCTACATACGGATAGTCCCAATTCTCGACATTTCCGTGCTTAAGTAGGCTTTTCGGTCCAGTCTTTAAACGACTGAATTCTATAGATTAGTCAAAACCTATGATATACTATAGTAATTGAATATCAAAAGGGAGTTAAAACCCATTATAAATAAATCACCAAAGTAAGAATTCGATAAGGAAGTGGTATTAATAGTTCAAGAACCCCGGGAACGGGACTAGTGGGCCTGAGTAAACTAGGGCCGAACTAACCCCGCGTTCTGCAGTTCGTACTATTGAAACTGGGCACCTGGGCATTGTCTGTGTTGTCAGAAGTGAGGGGTTATTTCCCATTGCAATCTCGGGATTTCATGTCACCTCCCCAATACCCCCAATTACAACCTAACCCACCCAAATCAACATGGATAATCCCAATGACCTACCGCCATCGCGAGAGCGAGTTGTGCCGGGTTCTTGCAACATAGAACTCGGCCAATTCCCCAAGACCATGTCGGAGTCCGGGTCGGGCCTTCCCTTAGATCCGAACGCTATTGCGGACAACATCATCAACCAGCTAAATCTGGGTCTCTCAGCCAGAGACAAGGCAGCGGTTGCATCACTGTTCCTCGATAATTGCTACTGGCGCGACCACCTGTGCTATTCATGGGACTTCCGCACCATCGAGGGGAGTCAGGCTATCGCTGCTTTTGTCACGGAGGCACCACCTAGTAAAATCGAAATCGACCGATCGTCTGACTCCAAATCTCCGCACAAGGCACCTATTGATGCCTTTGGTGATGTTTTCGGAATCGAATTTTACACCAAGGTCACCACCGAGAATGGACAGGGAAATGGTATTATAAGATTAGCGGAACATGATGGCAAGTGGTACATTTTCACCGTCTTCACTTCCATGGTTGAGTTGAAGGGCCACGAGGAGAACAAGGAGAGACCATTTGGTGTCCGACATGGCGAGCAGCAAGGCCGAAAGAACTGGAAAGATCGACGTATTGATGAGATCAACTTTGAGGGGAAGGACCCGGCAGTATTGATCGTTGGTATGTGTAGATGAAGCCTTTTCCAGAAGTATAAAATCTGACTTGATAATGAAGGTGCTGGCCAGGGTGGTTTGACTGCTGCAGCGCGACTCAAGATGCTCAAAGTTGACACCCTCGTCGTCGACCGAGAAGAGAGAGTCGGAGACAATTGGCGTCAGCGATACCACCAGCTCGTTCTCCACGACCCAGTGTGGTACGACCACATGCCATACCTACCTTTCCCACCCGACTGGCCTATCTATACACCAAAAGACAAGCTGGCGGATTTCTTCGAAACCTACGTGAAGTTCCGAGAGCTCAATGTTTGGACCCAAACTGAGATCAAGTCGTCATCCTGGGATGAGAACAAGAAGCAATGGACGGTTGTTCTTGAGCGCAAGACAGATAACGGAACTGAGACGCGAACTTTGCACCCACGCCATGTCATCCAAGCTACCGGGCACTCTGGCAAGAAAAACCTGCCCGCTTTTAAAGGGATGGAGGATTTCAAGGGAGATCGCATGTGTCACAGCTCTGAATATCCTGGCGCGAATTCCGAGTCAAAGGGTAAAAAGGTCATTGTCGTTGGATCCTGTAACTCGGCAAACGATATCGCCCAAGACTTTGTTGAGAAAGGGTACGATGTGACCATGGTGCAGCGAAGCTCTACCTGTGTGGTATCGTCCGACTCTACCTTGAAAATTGCATTCAAAGGTCTCTATGATGCGACCGGTCCCCCAACCGAAGACGCAGATCTTTATCTATGGAGTATTCCATCGCGCCTGTTCAAAGCACAACAGGTCAAAATCACCAAACTCACGAACCAGAACGACGCAAAGACTATCGAAGGACTGGAAAAGGCAGGCTTCAAGGTTGACAACGGACCATTGGATAGCGGTCTATTAATGAAGTACTTTCAGCGCGGAGGCGGGTACTACATTGACGTCGGTGGAAGCCAGCTTATTATCGATGGGAAGGTCAAGGTGAAGCATGGCCAGGAAATCAGCCAAGTTCTCCCCCATGGACTTCGGTTTGCGGATGGCTCAGAGCTTGAAGCAGATGAAATCGTGTTCGCCACTGGGTATCAGAATATGAGAACCGACACTCGCGTGATCTTCGGTGACAAGGTCGCTGACAGGGTTGGTGATATCTGGGGACTTGATAAAGAGGGTGAAATGCGGACTATCTGGAGACGGAGTGGTCACCCTGGATTCTGGTTTATGGGTGGGAACCTTGCTCTGAGCAGATACTACTCACGTCTGCTGGCATTGCAGATCAAAGCGCTGGAAGAGGGGTTGACTACTTGGTAGTTACCTACTGAGAAGCGGGGTTTTGCGCTTGCGATGGCACCAGCGAGAAGAAAACTTTCTGCCTAAGTATGTCTATTTATGACCGCAGCCAGTCTGTAACAGCGATTTCAATATACATAGGGGGCGGTTTTATTAGCCAGGGGGGCTGTTTTAGTAACAATCCCCTATACTTACATATCCACTAGTAACCTAAGTGCTTTCGTATACGTCGTATAACATTCTAAAGAGTTCCGATTGGACATGGAAAAGTAGCCAATTAGGAGAAATATTCGTATGATCTAGAAACTGGCTAAGATATTGCCCCCAGGTGATTAAAAAAACAATCAACCCAACCAGCCTTCCTGAGAAGCCACCGTGACACCCAATGTCAACACAAGGTTGTACACCCAAGTCTCCAAATCCGTAGAACCCTCAGAAACAGGCTCTGTCAACACCAAACAAGTGCGAAGATGATCCAAAATCGAACTCTTTTTCACAGAAATATCAAATCCAGCCCGAGTCATCGTCGCAATGCGACTCTTCCGACGTATCTTGCGGTCAATCGCCATAAGAACGAATTGTTCATCATCCGAAGACCCGGAGAGCCCCCGTTTCTCCCACTGCATAACCATCCGACATTGCTCGGTGTCGGTTGTGTTATCTTCCTTTTTAATGACGAATCTGTAGCTAGTGCCTTTCTCAGAACCTGCTGAGCTTGGGCTGGCTTGCCAGATGCATCTTGTGTCGCGGAAGTGGATTGATGATGATATGGGGTTGTCGCTGCTTGACGATTGGCACATTGCAGCGACGATATCCTTTTCTTGGATATTATATGATTGGGTATCTGGTTCTCTGGGGTGGTCTTGTTCATTTGACTGTTTATGGGTGATATATGGTTCATTGAGGGTTGCGTAGATATCCCTCGCGCCGAGCTTTGGGCGTTGCGGGAATCCCCTTGTCAATTTTGACTTGCGGAGTGGTGGTTGCCATATCTCTAGTACAGGCACTGGTCGGTGGTTTGGAGGTAATTGTTGGATTTGGAGGAGTAGTTTGGGGCTGAGTCGAAGTAGTTGACTTGATTTTGGGGGCGGCCGGGCTATTTGGAATTTGGCTTGGATCTTTGTGTTGACAGGTTGTGATGATGGTCTGAGAATGAATTAGACGTAATTCTCAATAGAATGAAAGAGTTTGTATGCTCTTTTCTTCTCAGGAATATTTTCACATACCGTTCTTCACTTGCTGTGTCGCTATCATAGCTTGGCATAGTATCTGGGGACTCCATGGCAAAGTCCATATTGTTCTCTCTTAAGGGCTGAAGAGTTGAAACAATAGAAAAAAATGAGTAAAGGATGAGAGTTAAGAACTGAAACCTGAGAGCTAAAAAGTCTCAAAGAAAGACCTTAGTATAAATACATGTAGCTAGTCAGCCTTGGCCTTATACGCCGTACTCGTATCAACGGGCACGAGCCTGAGAAATGCGGTGGATCCAGCAAATCCCAAATCCAGCAAATCTGGATACTAGTACGAGTACGGGGGTTTTTATGGTTAAAAAGACAACCAGATCTTGGCTGCCTGGGACATTTAACACTAAGTATGAACCTGTTGCATCTGTGCCGTTTTCTAAAATCCTGTCTAGGCATCTACAATTTTTCGAGGCCATGGGCCCAAGGGTCTCTCTGTCGTATTTTTGAGGCATTTCAATATTAGTCCACTGCATACTCCATACTCTATTCGGATTAGGGAGGTAACTTAGGTAACTTGGCCATAAGGATCTGTGGATCGCCGTTTTGAAGTTCGGTGACGGAGGGATTTCCGAGCCGTGCGCCCGACTGGGCGATTCACAGCCTCAACCTCTCAGCCCTGGGAAATACCCTTACCCCCTGACGAAATCCTGGCTCAAATGTATATAAATGGCCCCACAAAATATACCAAAATGTTGTTTACAAATGCTTTTGAAGCTTTCCGATAAAAAAAAACTTCTACAGGAGTCGGCTGCTCGTAGGCCCGAATGCCGTCTCACGGTCCAATTTCCTCCGATTCGATGATATCAGCGGATGCTCGGAACTCCGTTTGGGTTTATGCAAAGTATCATTCATAATAGTGCAGACCCTGGGTGCCCTTCAGGGCTGCCCAGGTGTGATTGAAGATCTGTGGAGTCAAACATACTTTTTGCCAAGATAACATGGTGATACACCGTGAGATTCGGGAATCCGAGCCGAGGCATTGGGATGTTTTATGCTCCTTTCATAATTGCAGGCCGTCGATCATCATATGGTTTTTTCCATCCGTGATCCAGCCCGAAGACTCGCCCTGTCACGATGCCCTTCAGGGTCAGGAGTTGTATGATGACCCACATGAGTACGAGCAATAGCAAAAGGGCTGTGGAGAATACATCGAAGGCAGGAGAATCCATAAGCTTCCCAAATTCAACGGCAGCATTGGTAAAAGTACCCTGGAGAAATCGGAGGACTGTTAGAAAAACATGCCAAGGAAACTAGGGGAACCAGCCTACTTACCCACGGAAAAACCACAGACCACACAGACATGGTGAACCGTGACTGTTTCCAGCCCCCTGGTTGTGTGTGTAGAGTATAACAGATCGTTAGGATGGCAAAGAACCACCAAAAGACCCCATACCCCCAGACAAGAAGACCGGTAAAATGGCTGATGAAAGCAAACGGACCAGCCGCCTTGGCAGTCAGAAGCTGACCGCGATCATATGCCGCAAAGCTACCGGCCATAACAGCCTCACCCAATGCCTGGAGCGCGACCGAAGCCTGTCCGTAAGGGCCGCACATAATCATATCCTGGTACACCATGTCCGCTGTCTGGAACGGGCGACCGAAGTACTGATAGAGTATAATGGTGTTGAACGAAGCAACGAGGGCAAGACCGCCCCCGATTTCGAGGTAGGAGACGATGATGGCAGGGACCTGGAGTCGGGGGCTGATATGCGCGAGCTGACATATAGCCCCGCCGCCTGCGGCAGAGGTCAATGCCGCAAGGAATGGCATTAGCATGTCGGCGTGTAAATGTCGTGTGCCCGACTGCTGCATCTTGAGGTGTATGAATGGGATCACCATACAGGCGATCATGTCCATGCCTGTGTTTACCCACCACAGGATGTAGATAGCCAGCCCGGCTGTGTCTCCGTATTTGAAGACTGCCATCTGGAGGATTGAGGTGAAGGCGATGGCGATGCAGCAGAGGCAGGATGTTTCGGCGCTATTGTTTCGCAGCTGATGTAGGACATGTCTAGGGTGTAGGAAAGTGCGTAAGAGATAGAGGACGATGAATAAACCGAGCTGGACGATGGTGTAGATCCATACGATTGTCGCGAGAGTTTTTAGTCCATTGAATTGGTATTTTAGTCGATAGAGTATCACAGCTATTATCCCCGTTCCTTGGGGAACGATGAACCACAGCGATGAGAAATTCCAGAGGGCGCGAGACAACGGGCCCGCTGGCGGAATGAGGCCTCGTTGATCTGACATGTGTTGTTTTGTGCGATTCACCCCCAATCGGAGCGGGGGATTGATTTGACCATGTTTGATGAATTCGAGGATATCTAGTTAAGTAGGTTCGGTTAGTATTGACGTCATCCGTCCCAGGCTAAAGCTCGGGGCTATCTCCCAGATTCAATTGCTTCGTTTTTTTGTCAAAGATAATTTTTTTGGATTTGATTCGAGCAATACTGTCAATATCGGATACATATGTAAGCAAATCGGCTGCAATGAAATAATTTCGAGATGAGTTGCACGCAGATCCGGGGCCACCTCATACCATAAAAAATCATAATTTCGAGACGAAAAATTGTCTAAACCACGATGGCCGACCGAATCAGAATACTCCTTCGAAGCATATGCCTAGTCCCCTGAAACCAGGTGAACTCATTCACATCTCAGTGCTTTTCCACCGAGAAGAACCCATCATCGCTGTAACTCGCTGTGTAACCCGTGTAACGCCAGTTCCCCCTTGTGTAACGCCCGTATTCATTCCAGCAAATATCCATGTAATTCGTGAGCGTCAGAAAGTGGAAAAGAAAAGGAGAAACTAGGAGCTGCTCCCTGTGTCTTTCGTGTAGTAGGTAGTGGTGTCTTCGGTGTAAGTGTGGGGGCGATAATAGCCCGGCCCCGCTGGAGGATCTAATCAACAATTCAGTGAGGGGATCAAATCAAGCGATCGCAGAAACATACAACGAGACTCCAGATCTCTGCCACCCCAGGAGATTTGCCTCAGACTTGCAAATCCTCGAGCTCGCACTTCGGCCATGTAGACCTTCTGCTCGTAGCCGGGACTGAACGGAGTCTCTCCTTCGGCAGGATTGTAGTGCTTAAAGAGCGATGCTCCCAGTGCGGTTGCTGCGAGACAGGCGACAAGGACGATGACAATGATGGCTGCGTTGGAGAGCCCCATTGTGAATAGAATAGAGAGAAAGATTGAGTAAGGATCGGGGAATTGCAGTTGGTGTTGCTATGGCAGTTTGAATTGTAAGAGGTGGGTCAGTGCATGATGGAGGAAGCCTCCGGGATCTGGGAACTGTAGATGCCTATAGGTGCTGGACTAGGGTACAGATGAAACGAGAGTTGAAGAAAGAGAGGGGATGAAAGAAAAGAAAAATAAATAAACTTCAAATGTTCTACGCAAGTGCCCGATACCTCCGATTTACAATCTGATGTGTTGTCTCTGTATGTAACCATCCCATTGGCCATGTTTTTCCAACGATACATTCAATGTTTGAACACTACTCCGTACATACTAGGTTCCTAGGTGCATAAGTGTATCCACCAATCACACGTTGTGTCGCATTTGACAAAACAAAGCCCAAAAATAGCACTGACGTGGCTTCGATATCGGGTCCATGGATTTAGTTGAAAGCTTGTCATCCAGACTACATAGGAAATAATTTCATTGGTCAATCCAAGTATACAAAGCAGTTTGAAGGAATAAAATTTGAAGTTCATTATACGCAAATCGAAAGAAAGAGAACGAAAATGCCCATCAAAGAAAAAAGAAAAAGAAAGAGCGGTGCTCCTGTAGGCAGCAGCCAAGGGCATCGAGTGGGTTTGCACCATAAACACAATCATCAGATCCATGAATCGTCTACAATTTAATATCCACATTTCGGTCAAACAGAAGATTCCAAGGTTATTGCAATCTAGCTAATAATCATCAGTCCCCGTACTTGAATTCTCCTTAAAACGTCAACCGATATTCTTCAAGTAAGCACGCCAAGAGATATATACTTGCGAGTAACCTGATGGTCTCTCTTTATTCTCTACGTCTCTTTATTCTCCATGTAAAATTGATACAGGGTTGGGTGGTTGATTCAAAGAGTCAAAAATCAACGGGTTTTACATGGTTCAAAACTCGGACCAATTTCGTGCTCTTATTGGTCCCATGGGATGTCTTCAACAGAATAAAATAATACCTACGTGGGATTAAACTAAAATAAGGATCTCGTTCGAAATTGAAAACTTCTAAATTCATTCATGCCACAACCGAAACACCAGGTAAACACACCCCAATAACAATGTCAGGAGTAATTAATCACTCATTTTCCAAAGAAAAAGATCATCTATGTTTGAGAAAACAGCTGCTGAAAATTAGTCAAGCTAATCAAGGTAAGTTATCAGACATCCTCAATATCGAACCGAAGGTTATATTTACTCCAGTCTTCACCGTTATGGAATGTCGCAATCCGTGGAATTCGTTTCACTCCCTGACCATATGCACACAAGATAAAGGCCGCGACAACTTTACCAATGGGGTACCAAGAATGCCGCACAACTCTGGCGAAGGAGACTCCCAAGTTTGTGGCTCCTTGGGCGGAAACTCAAGCCCCTCCCGGGATTTGTAAACATGATCCTGAATGAAGGGCATAGTGTGCTTCTCGTTAATATCAGTAACAATAACGTACTTTAGGGTGTTTAAGGGAAAATGAGACTCATAGAAAGCCTTGGTAAACTCAGACATGTAAAAGTTCGTGGGAACCTGCTGTCTCCTGATATCGTCTATGAATATCACGCCTGGCCCCGCTCGACCAATCCAAAGTGTAAGATCGCCTTTGTGTTTAAGGGCTGATTGGAATCGATAAATAGCTTTCTGGTTGATTGCGGGGTCGTCAACTGGTAGGCCGAAAGTATCGGCCCAGTACATCCAGTCCTCTTCAAGGAACTGCGGGCTGCTACCGACAATCCAGACCTTAGGATCAAGGTCTTCGGTAGTAAGTGTGGTCCTAGAAATAGGGCATCCGGGCTCATCGGCACGCTCCATCCATCGTCGGAAGGAATCTCCCTGTGGCTCGAACTTAGGGTACTTGGGAGTCATTGCGATGAAGTTGGCACTAAGCTCACTAAAATAGTCGAGGTCGAGGGAGAATATGTAAAGTGCTGATTCACCGACTGAAGTCTCTTGCGAGATTGTTGATATGTTGTTCTGAATTAACTGATGCGGTGCATCGAGTATGCTTATATAGTTCGAGCCAGCTGAATATAGGAACAAAAGAAACAAAGAGCAATCAAAGTCTTTGTGCAAAAGAGGGCATAATAGAGACCAATGATCTTGGGCATTTTACAAAGAATAAAAGAATGGACGAGATAAATAGTCCTTTAAGCAGTGCTACAAGGATGGAGTGCTCGTCAGCAGATGGGGTAATAATATTAACCCATTCGAAAATGTAACCCGCCCCGGAAATGATGTTGGCCTGCACTATACAGAATCATTATAACACTTCACAGACCCTATCGGATTCAAATACAGTGATATTCTTGTGTTTCTGTCCCGGTCACCAACATGTACAGCCACACAGTAGTCATACCATCTAATAAAAAATGTTTCGTCCTTGTTGGTGTGCTCGCTGTTGCCCTTTATATCACCGTGTACCAGAAACCCTTACGGGCTTATTGTAGCCATAAAACAGACATATGAACTTCCACCTCGGTTATCATTGTCAACTCGCTGGGGGCGGAACGGGGTTTTAGACCGATAAATGAGCGTGGGCATGAGAGCAGGAGACAATCGAGGCTGTCATTGTCACAGGAAATCGGGTTGCGGAACGTCCACTAACACCTGTTGACCTGGGGATGGTAGCCCAAAACCAGATAATCCATGATTTGCCATTCTAATGGTTGACAGGCGCTGTTTGATTGACTTGAGTTGTTGTGCATTTCCCCAAGGACCCTGGTATTCTCATCCGGGGCAACGGTGTCACCACCGCGGAGACATATCGATACCATGGCCATATCGACGATGAAGGAGGTGCCACTCCACTAGTACCACCTACACAAGGTAGAAAGATAGCCAGGATCACATCTGGCAAGCATGGTACCATACAAAGTAAGAGACTAGACAGCAAAAAACCCCGAGTTTATTGGGTTGCCTATGACACATGTCTGGCAATGCATCAAATACGAAATCTTGGAGTCATACAATACGTATCTGCCCCCAAAGCTTGATATTTTGACTTGGTGGACTACAGCTATCCATAATGTATGTAGCTAGGGATTCCTAATCTCCAATGTATCTCTCATGATCTACAGTGCGAGTATTGGAGGGAAACAGTGAGGTTATCACTGGTTTACAAGTTCCACAATAGAAAGACCCAAGCCGGTATCTATGAAGCCAAGTATCAACGCCCAGAGCCTGCAGCAATGGAATCTTAGTCTTGGTACCAAGCTTAAGGCGGAATAGTCATTTAGTCCCTTTTCGGTAGTGGCTTCATTTTAGATTGAGAGGTACTCAGTAGGCTCAATAGCTGGCCCTGGGGGACAATGGGTTGTTTCGTCCCCGGTAGTCGTTCCTTCCTAAAATGGAAGTTCAATGGTCGAGACACATAACGTGTGTCCCTTGTGTCAATCGTTCCTTCCATCTGTGCAGTGCCTTCTGTTTGGGGACCCAGAGTCTCACCCAGGGTCTCCTATAAATTCCCCCCCTCTCACTTTTCTCTTTCTTTCTTCTCTCTCTCTCTTCTCTTCTCAAGTTACCAACACAGTTTTTAACAGCGCCCCCCTGCGCTGTTACCTTTCTGCTCCCCCCCGTGTCCGGCCTCGCCGGCGTTTGTTTTTCATTTTTATTTCAAAAAGTAAGACCCTTCTATCTCAGACTCCTTCTGTTGACTTATATTGACACATGCTAATGCCTTTTGTCTCCTCCTCGTACAGAAAAAAAAAATCAACATGTTGATCCCCTTCTTGGGGATCTTCGTGGGCATGACTCTCTGGAGTCAGTGGTTCCCCATTCCGGGTTTCACTGCTCCAGAGCAGTCGTTCATACGGCGCCTGTCTGGTACGTTCCAGCTGACGATGGAGTCATGGGCCTTCTGTGACCTGGTGAACGCTGCCGCCTCCCAGCGTGGTCACGCTTCCCGGCGCGGGCATTCCGTATGGGAGTCGCGTTCTCACGTTGGCCATGGGTATGCAAACTCGACGGACTTTCTGTTGGTTAGCCTTGGAACGGATGTCATCGTCCAGCCTAGCGTAGCCGATGATATGCCGCCTTGGTTTCCAACCCCGTTCCTGGTACCCATCCCGGTCTCGTCTTGGTCAAGTGACGGAGTGACATCTTCTGATCCCGAGGAATTTGTCCACATCCTCCTGCTTGGATCCAAGCCCGGGCATGGCTTCTACACCACGTTGTTGTTCTTCGGTATTTGGTGTTTCGTACAAGTCCCCTGGGCCTTGATTGCTTACCAACGACAATCGTACTCCGGACTTGATACCTTGACTTGATACCTTGATTGAGTGGATTCTGAAGGTTCTCGAAGGTCAACCACAGATTGCACGTGTGCAATTTGTGGCCGAGGACGATTCATCTTCCTTTGACGGGGAGATGGATCGTCTGATCGCGGGCCCAACGGAAACGGACGAGGAAATTCTTTCTTGGGTCATGGCTGCGGACAGTTGTCCCGAATCTGTGTCCCATGTGTCGGTTCTCTCTCGGTCTGGAGGTATCTGGGTCCACCGGATCGCCAAAAGCCTGGGGGATGACCAAGTACCGGACCCAGAATCGGCGTGCAATACCACCGACCTGGTGAACACTACGGATAACGCTCGCATGGACTTGGTCTCTCGGCACCCCTGGAACTCGACTGCTCTCTATGCCTCCGACCATGACGATTCTCCGGCTCCGGCTGGGGATCCGATTGGCAACGGTGCGGATGATGAGCGTCCTGATTCCACCCCGGCGTACTTCAGCAGGAAGAACCGTCCGTCGCAAGCAAAGAGACGTCGCGAAGGAAAGAGAGCACGACAGGAAAAGAAGGATCTAAAGCATTCCGATGTTTTAGCCTCTTACGCTTCCAATGCTTCTCTTGCGATGTCTTCGAGCTCGACGCCTTTGTCGGCTTTGGCTCCGGTCTTCGTTCCTGGTCGTCTGGCGGAGCAGGGTGATCTGCAGAGTGGTCCTCCTTCTCCAACTCCCTTGTTCACGAATGTGGGCATTGATCCTCCTGCGGATTGTGGTACGACCACGCCCGATGACAACGCTCTGCCCCAGCCATCTCGCCGCCGCCGTCGCCGTCGACAGCGTCATGCTTAGACGCTTCGGTGGAGGTGGGACATAGTACCAGCAACAAATGTGTCTGAGTGGGACAACCTTGAAGGAACTCCTCTCTTCGGAGGGTTGTTTAGGTCCTTCTCAGCTGTCCTGTAGCGCTTTTGTTTGCTGGTACAAAGCTGTGGTGGGGCCGCCTCGAGCGTCCTCAGAAGCTTTTCGTATGGTGGTTGGGTTGGAGATTGAGTTGACTGGCCAATATGCTTAAAAAAAAAAAATACAAAAAAAGAGACAGTGAGAAAAAAAAGACGACAGAAAATCCCACAAAAAAGGATGTACTCTCACTTCACTCTCACTTCAACTTCACTCTCATTTTCAGTTCAGTTGAGGCGAGAGGTCTCTCTTGCGACGTTCATGTCTCACGCCGCTTTGCTTTGTGTTTTTTTTTTGTTATTTGGGCTCTGGGATTTGCCCATTTGACTTCTGTTGTTCGGCCGTTGACCACGGCCACCCTTACAAAACACCGCGCCCCATCGTCTAATCGAGGTTTAGCCCACAGCTGCGACTATTATCTCAAAAAAAAGTCGCATCGGTCAATCCTTTTTCACCTTGCCTTGTTCGAATTATATTCTTCTCTCCGGGCTTGTTCACTCGCGTCTGCATCAACAATCAAACGGACTCGCGCGATCGTGCTCGTCATGGCCTCTTGGGGAGAGGCTCAGATCCAAGACACAACTTGAGTGTCTTCCACATGTCTTCAATTCAATCTTGCTGGGTTCACATCGACTTTTGTGGACAGTATTCCATGTGTTACATTCATTCCTCACCACAGCCTTTCGGTAACGAGGTTCTGGCTGAGTTCATTCCTTCGACAATCCTTTGGCGGGACAGCAAGCACCAAACCTGCCTGGTTCCATACTCAAACTAGTTGACCCCATGGTCATTTTTATTTGCATCAATCATTCAACCAATATGCAAACAGCGTCAGATTTTCCGCACGGCCTCTGGGGGAGGACCTGACTGGACAAAACGACAAAACTTCGCATTCTCTGCATCGGACATCCTCTTTCTGTGCCGTGAACACCACTAGCTATCTTTTTCATCTGTCACCTCACCAGTTCTTGATTACAAGGGGAAAAAGAAAGACTTCCACTGAGCTTACGGGACGGCTTCAGTTGGACGAACATTGCGGGAAAACAAATCAACTCGACGTCAATCTACCATCACCACAAATCTGCTGGTTTATTCATATCGAGTTGTTCTCCACCGGCTACGAAAAAAGCCTTTGCTGGATCAAGAACGCCATCAGCATCAATCAGAACTTCGACTTCAATCATGCTTCCAGTCAAATTTGACAAAACTAAGGTCGATCTTCAGTTCAACCCTACTTCAATCACCTTGGCTTCCTTCCGACGATTGTCGCAAATTACCTCACTGAAAGATGTGAACCATCTCTCAAATTATAAATCTCTTCAATAATCAGGTGTGCTCATCAGCTAATTCAACCTGCTTTCCGGCTTCACGGGCCTTGAGCTAAGCCTTTGCTGGAGGAGCCTCTTGAAGACCATTGATATCTTCTATGTCTTCATTGGAAACGCACTTTCTGTGTTCGTCAATTTCATTCAATACGTTTGTTACTCTCCAGACCCCGAAATAGGTCTCTGGATGATCCTCTTGACGTCCATAACCACTTTCCATGTGCGGCAATTTTGTTTGACAAGCTTGTCCTCTCTTCAGACCTTCGATATGGTTTCTTCTGGACAGCCATGACTCCTTCCATCGACTCAGTCGTCCTCCCAGCGTTTCCTTTCTTCGACCGGTTAAACTCCTGGTTTGGTGTATGGTCTATGGATCGTGATGGGATATGAAATATGGGACATGGTACAAGGGGATATTAACATTTGGATGAGCATGCATGTTATGTTCCAGGCGTTGTGTGGGTTTCTTGTGTTTTGTTTGTACAGATCCAGCATCCATTGCAACTAGGCGGATCCTTTTTTGTTTCAGTGATACCCCACAAAGCATAGCCTTTTTTTTTGTTGGTTTTTGACTGTCTTTTCACCTCGGTCAATTGAATACCATTGTTCCGTTTCAATTAATGGTTGCTTCTGTAAGAGCCCTGTTCAAGAGCAGCCGCGCTCCAATTATATCACTCACAGGGAAAGGAAATGTAGTTGCAAGCTCCCAATTTGCCAACTCAGCAAGTATTTTCCTCCGAAGACCCTCTTTGTATAAAGGAGTGACCGGCCACTACTATAACGATGGCTTTTTTGAGTGGCAAAAGGGCCGATTAGGGGTAACTCGTCATAATGGGACCTCTATACGGCCACGTAGTAAATCAGAACTGCTAACTACCCATTATGGAAGCAGACACGAAGCAAAATACATAGTAGTTAGGTAGTTACTACACAGCGCCACTTAATGGAATCGTATAAGGTACATCATCTACATTATTTAATACCTATGGCTATTAGACTGGAAACAAACATTCATTTTAATAATTTGACAGTGATCCTAGATGGGGAATTGGACATATGGTAGAAAACGCTACATGACATGGCACTTCCCCCTTCGTTTACGACTCCGCTCCTTAATTGTGTTATCGTTCCAATCCTGAATGCGCCGGCGCCATTCCTCGTTTGTTGGCGGCGGTAAGCTAGAGGGTTCGGTTGAAACCCGCCTTCGGAAAGACCTTTGCCTCTGAGGTATCTCATGCTCGTCATCTACTGCAGTGCCCTGCCCATCTTCATATGGCTGTGGAATATGGAGGAGGTTTGGCGAGGATACAGAGTATGGGAAGTAGGCATCACCAAGTGCATCGCCCAGTGCCGAGGCTCTCAAGTATGGAAGAGGCATCGTGTTTTCTTGTTGCGGTAGTTCTGCTGGATATACAGCAAGCGTAGGCGTGGTGAGTTGGGTCGCCGTAGGTGGACGCGAAGCAGATCGAGGCGGTTCTGGTGATAAGTTGTTCGTGAACGAATCTTGGGGGACCAATTGCTCTGGGGTAAAGTCTCTGCCAATGGAACTTCCCCTGCGCCTTGCCCCAGTCATGGCACCTAGGTTCTGGAAATTGACAGACTGTGGGCGAGGGCGGGTTGATTGCTGCGCGACACGAACGGTTTGTCCTCTGTCAGGTTGAAGGGTGGAATTGGCGATATTGACACCGGGAAGAAGCGTTCGTTGCAGATCATCTGGCAATGGGTCCACTGTCTCGCGTTTATAAGGAGGAGGAGGAGGCACCCAATTATCGGCGTCACTCTCATGGGGAATCTGTCGGGGGTTGTGGGAATTGCGATATCGAGGGTCGTATCGCCCACGGGTTGATGCAACCACAGTAGCAGCTCGGTGGAGAACTTCGCTAGAACGAGGCTGCGTATTGTCATATGGAAGGTCGATTATATCGGCTCGAGAAGTCTCGCTTGGCGAGGTGGGAACTGCAAGACTATTGCGGCGGAAGTGAAGTGGCAAAGCTCGGGATTCTCGAGTAATTGTTGAATTACCACGGGCTGCGAATGCTGTAGCAGTATCGCCACGGTGTAGTCGTGTTCGCCTTCTTTCAAGCTCGACTTCAGTGTCCAAAGAAGAGTCCGGCTCCATAAGAATCTTGGGTGCCGTTTCGCCGACTTCGATATCAAGCTCAGTCGCTTCGCCATTCATGGTAGAGCGCTCAAAATCAAGGAGGAGAATTCGACCACCGTCAACTGGGATATCTTCTTGGCCAAAGTTCTGTGGGCGCACACCACCAGGCGCTACTGCGACGAGTCTCCGACGGCGTCTTGAGTCGGAATGTACCCAATGAGCGGATGTGATACCGTGCATGTCACTCACCCGCCGCCCCCGGATCAAGATCTTAGGTTGTTGAACGATCTTCTGAAGCTGTGCTAGATTGTCGCGAGGCGCGCAACCTCCATAATGATGACCACCACCAACCTCGGTACCAGTAATTTCACCAGCGCCCAAGCTAGGCATTCCATATATCCACAGTTCTGAATTTTGGAACCCCAATGCAGCAAGTTCTCCTGAATCATCAGTGGCGGGTCTCATGCTTGGTCGCATTTCCCGAGACTCATCTGCGAGGAATGGACTGGCGAAATAAACGATTCCCGCATTATTGTTTAATTGAAGCGCCCTAAACGCCCCCAATTGTTTATCATATCCCATCACCCAGTGATCGTCAGATTCCTCTTGACCAGCAATAAGGGAGACGTGAGTGATATGGCAAGGGATTGTTTCAGGAAAGAGAATTTGTGTTGTCCACATTCTCATCTCAAGTTCTCCGGGCGAGGCGTCCGTTCCGGTCTCAGTATAGAAAGGAGGAGTGATAGTGACGATATTTTCAGCTGTAAAACCAAGAAGCATCGCTCCATCAGGTGAAAATGAAAGTGCATCGACACGGGGACAACGCACCGCCCGGCGGTCGGTTGGCAAAGCCTCTTCACCCACAGCGTATACCTCGATACTATCCTCAAAGGCTAATGCTAGCACACTACCTGCTGGAGAGAATTTGATATCCCTTGGAGCGTCATTCAGCGTGATAACTTGAATGTGCTTGGCTTCATCGTCAGAGAGCTGGTATATATGAACTCGATGTGTAGAAGATAAAACAGCAATGAGAGAGCTATCATCCCGGATTGTGGCTCCCAGTGGCCGCCTTCGAGTCTTAAGCTCATGCTTGACGGCGACTGGGTCAGTAGTCACGTCTAATATGACAATGCGGGAAGAGCTGATGCAGAGAACTATTTGACCATTTCCTGAAAACGAGAATCGAAAAACTTCACCCTGTGGGAATGCCGTGGACGAGCTCATAGAACTTGAAAGTAGTCGCACAAGAGTTTGCCGGGGCCGTAGAAATGCATCAAAGGCGTTCTGCCTGACCTCCTTGACAAATTGGCGCTTGAGTTTAGTGAGGTTTTCTGCCTCAGGAATGACCCCGCGAGCCCAGGAAAAGGATGAACAACGTGACAACTGATAAGCATACAATGCCGCGGAATCGGATGAATGCCTCCATCTTCGATTTAGCAGAGATAGCGATGCAAATGTATTGG